TGGCGATGATCGGCTGAATCTTTTGTTCAGTCAGCACTTTGCCAGTGATGGATGCCTTCTCAATGCACGCCCGCCACACCTAGCCACGCATATCAAAGGCAATATCCTTGACCTTGCCATTGCCTACAAATCCTCAAGTCAGGATTGGTCATTCCGTGTCATCCACGAATTACGTGTTGCGGGGAGTGATTATTTCCCACTCGTTGTTGGCATTCCTGGCTTGGCAATTCGTGGTGCTGGTTGCACCAGGGATCCCAAATGGTGCTCCTTCAAGGACTTCCCGATCCAGCAATTCATAGATGAGGTAACACCGCTGTTGCAATCTTTGCACCCGTGGTTATCAACGCACTTGTGGCCACCACCTTCTGACCCCGCAGAGTTACGTGATGTTCTACTTCAGGGTGCTGCTGTTCTGAGTGCTCTCCTCTTAGGTGTGCTGTTCCAGTCAAACTCCCCGTATGGTCGCTTCTCCATGAAACCGGATGGGGGCAAGAAGCGTCGGCTTAAGCTATCTGCTAAACTGCGCTTGGCCATCCAGAGAATGCGCGAGAGTCGAGGTACAGCGTCTTACGGGCCATTGCAGCGGACTGTCAATCGTGCTCTTAAGGCCCACCGTCTCAAGCGCTACACAAGCTTGACCGGTCAACCTCATGATTGCTCCAGATTTGCACCCAATAAAAAGACGTTTGACTGGATTCGTGATGAGATCAACCCGGACGCCACTGCTTCCCACATGATTACCGTCGACAATGAGTTATTGGGTGATCAGGTTGCTGCTGATATTTGGGTTGAATTCCTAAGGTCACAAACCTCCTGGGATGGACAGCTGTCGCCGGAGGTTCTGCTGCAGTTATACCGAGGCCACCTTGAGGAACGTCCTTGTGAGGATCCTCCCAGGGAAACTGCACGTAGTAGATACCGTGATGCTCGGCAGTGGTTGAGGGAGTTACCTGTTGAAGACCGTGCTGAGAGCCTCATACAGTGGACTGAGTTCTGTGACTCCTTGGTTGGCCTTAATGCCTCGGCGGCGCCGCCGCCCACTGAAGCTGTGCCTGTCTCCATCTTGAAGCCACCCTGTGAACCGCTTCGTGCTTGCTTGATTGGGTTGTTGAACCTTGCCATTCTGTGTGACTTTCTGCCCCCGGCTTGGTGCGTTGTGGTCATCGTTCCTTTGCTCAAACCTGGTAAGCCAAAGAATCGCATTGAGTCACACAGACCGATTTCCTTGATGCCTTTGGCCCTCAAGCTTCTGGACCGCATCATGTTCCACCGTGTTTGGCCCGCTATACGCTCACAAGCGCTTCCTTGGCAGCTAGGTGGGAGCAAGGGCCCTGATCTGGCCATCGCGTACATGGGTGACATGCTGAGGTTAAGGGCTAAGCGCCTCATCGACTGCGTGGTGGTTTTGTTGGATGGCCAATCTGCTTACTGCAGGCCCCCTCCTCTTGCCGTGGTATCTTGCTTACGCAGGCTGAAGCAGCTGAGAAGTGACGACATTCGTATCATTCACCTGGTGCTTGGCAGTATCTGCTCCAAACCTGTTGTTTTGGGGCGTGTTCGTGCTGCACACAAACATGATGTAGGCCTCCCTCAAGGAGGAGCTCTTTCCACTGCCTTGTTTGTCGCCTTGACATTGCTACTCTATGATGGGCTCTGCGATGCTGATTGTGCTTGTCATGTCAAGGTGGATGACATTATAGTTCCCATGGTGGCATCAGGGTTTGTGGACGACATGGCCATCTTCACGGGTGACCTGCCCGCTGCTCAGCGAGCCTTGGATACAGCTTGTGATTGGGCGAATCACATCCGCATGATCTTCAACCTTGGACCTGACAAATCGGCACAGCTGGATTTGCCACCATCCGCCAACCATCTTTCAAGTGACCTTTTCCTGTATGGCAAACCTTTGCCCCGCACCTCCTCCTACAGATACTTGGGTGCCCTCTTCACGGCTACCGGTTCCGTGGCAGCAGCCTTGAAAGACATGGGTGAGAAGATCCTTCGTAAAACTGGTATCTTGGTGGGATGGGGACGGGTGAACCAGGTCCCACTGGCCCATCTTGTTCGCCTGTGGCTCCTCTATGTGGAGCCCATTGTGTGGTGGCTGGTTGCTGCTGTGCCGCTTACCGCTACCCAGGCTTCCTGGTTGGACCTGCTCCAGCGCAAAGCAGGCCGTCTGCTACTTGGTCATCACAAGCGCTCACCTCGTCTTTCATCGCTTGCCTGTTTGGGGTGGGTGCCTTGGTCATGCCTGCTAGGGGCTAACCGCCTCGGGCTTTGGGGTCGCATGATGTATGACGATGGCAACCTCATGCAGCAAATCTTTGCGCTGGCCCGCACTGTAGAAGGCACTTGGGCTCACCAGGTCAGCGTTGACATCCAGAACGTCTTCGCGCTTAACCAGCCATCGGATCCCACCACGTTTTGGGGTGACCTCAAGCGATATCGTCAAACATGCATGGAGCTAGGTTGGCGTGAAGTTGTGGATGGCTGTACTGGACACTCTCGCCTCACTCACTTTCCGGTGCAGCTTGCTGAGCGTTCTGACTCCAGGAAGGGCATCTCTGATCTGTTCACATGCATTGGTTTATCTCTGGATTGTTCCATCGTCGTGCTTCGTCTATTCTGTGGTGGACAGGGGTTACGGGCAGGTGACACCTGTGACGATTCGCCAACCTCGCGTGGCAACTGTTGCTTATTCTGCTTAAAGCATGGCAGTCTGGCTTCCGATACTTTGGGCCACTTTCTCTGTGATTGCCCCCTATCCACGGTGACAGACTCGGAATCCACGGATGACCTGACTGATCTTTTGCTTCATCCTGATGCCTGGCTCACGGCAACAGCATCGCGGAAGAGAGCGGCGATGAGACTGATAAGCCGTAAGTGGCAGCACCGTCGTGCATGGCTGAGAGATATGAAGCTGTTAGGGCCCAAGAAGATTGAATCCTTTCTTGAGAGCCTTTGGTAGCCGTTCTTTCTCATGTCATTCGCGCTGCTGAGCTTGAAATTTTTGTCGTTTGTGGGCGCACCTTAGCCTTTCAACATGCTGCCACATGGGGCCTACCGACGAGTGGGCATCTTGTGACGGTGAGTTGGGAGTGAAAGCCACTCCCCGAGTGCATCACGCTTCAGGCCAAACGAATAAAAAAAACAGGACAGTGCGGAAACATCGGACAGCTCGGCGAAAGTCCGGGATCGAGATGGAAGCCTGCGCGCTGCTATGGTTGATTCGCTTGGAAATTCCAGATTCTAGTTTAGCCGATCCCATGGACGTAGCTCGGTTTGGGCACTTTCGCGGCATTATTCGTTGAATCTTTGTCGTCTGTGCTGTTGTCCGTCGTTCCCCAACCACCGGTTTGTTGCTGGCCAGGTTTCAGCTTGAACTTACACGCTTGCACGATTTCGTTGGGTGGTGCTGTCAAAAAAGCCTGGAGGCCTTGAGTTTTCCACCCGGAAGCTCGGGGAGGTCGAGCATGAGTGGTGCCTTCCGTGGGCCTGAAACGAGCGGTGGTAGCAAGGTCCACAATTCAACTCTGATGAACATGGGGCACAGCATGGTGGGGAATTGGGCATGCAACTCTCCCTCTTTGTGGCAGCCACTGACACTGACAACAATCTTGCATCGGCCAGTTGATGCCGGTCTTGTTCGTGTGTATTCCTGTTGCTGTCTTGTACCAGCCGTGCTCGTCAAGCGGCATGTGCTTTAGAGAGGTTTTCGCAATGTCACTGTTGCCGGTGGTTTCTTTTCAGGTCATACTGGCCTTTACTCCTTGCCTGCGATAGTTCCTTTAGTCGTGGACAATCGACAACGGCCCACCGATTGTGGCTTGTTTTATCCTGTTTGGTTCACGAGGCTGCGGTGGCCATCATGTGTACCGTCGCCGGCTGTGTCGTGGTTCTTCTGCCAGTCCTCCACAGAAGCAGACGGCTCAGCATGTATCGATTGCATGAGTACATCGCGACGGAGTTCTGGCTTGTAACTTGTTCCCGCGCTGTTCAAAAAACTGCGGCATGGGGGCTTCAGGAAACGACAGCGATGACGAGTCGCTGGCAACATCCAGGTCTGCAACTCTTGCAACTGTGGGAGTGAGGAACACATACCAAAAGGCAGGAGGAGGTGCTCCTGAGTTGCTTATGCTGTGCAGGCCGTACTCGCGGAAGGACTACAACTACAAGGATCCCTACAACCACAAGGATCCCGAGCTTGGGCTCGGATACGAGAACTTACTGGCTTCACCTGGTGGCTCCTTTGCATCTTCCTATTCAGGCGCATGATGATGTGCAGCAAGTTCATGCACATGATCCCAGTCCTCAACCTAGCATTATCCTGGCACGTCTAGTGGTGCTCTTTCGCAGGTCAGCGGATTGTCCTGGCAACACCACCTGGTGTAGCATCACCTGGTGTGACATCGCCTGGTGTAACGTCGCCTGGTTTCGTCCGCCCCTTGGGGATAACACTCAAGACATGCGCACAGCACTCCACCATGCTGCTTCTTCGTAGCGCTTTTGTTATCTTTCTGCAACGCTACTAAGCAGCACACGGCACGAATTAGAGTGCTTTGTTGTATGGAAGCCGTCAATCAACCTGCGCGGACTTCAGGCTCATTCGGTGTACACTCGCGTCAATCGCGTGTCTTAAGCGCCTGGTCCTGGCCCTTGCACACAGACAGAGCAGGGCAGCACTGTCATGCAACTTGGCGTTCCCATGACCTTCGGCGTGCTCTGAGGTCGGAAAGCTTCCTGGTAACGCTCCTGAAATCTGGGAGCCAGCTTGGAAGTTGTAAGAAGACAAGCAGAAACATACCGTGGACTATACCGTACCGACTTTACCGCATTTTCTATGTTCCATGTGGCGCGAACAGCAAGCATGTGCAGCATGCACAATTCACTGACACTTAAGTGCGTCGGTGCAAATGCAGAAAAGAAGCTCATCAGATGCCCTTAATCTAGGAACAGGCGCACTGGCGGTGGAGGTTTGTCGCCCCTTTCTGTCCGGACAGGATTGGCGGGAATGCGTTCTGGATGCCTCCGAGGCCTGGTCCTGGTGCTGCCAAAAAGGACTTGCTCGGTGGCTCGAAAAGAATGTCAAGGTTTGGTACAGTTTGCCCGAATGTCAGTGCACACTCGGTGCCCGAATCGAAAGCCTACAAGTTTACCTTGCTACGATCTTAGTCTGCCTTTTCCTTTGCCAAGTGTCTGTCAGGCACTGCGGTTCGAGCCCATGCACCACAAGGTCATTTTCGCCTTTGAGGTCATCGGTGTGAAGAAATATAGACCCTGCGAAGGCCATGCTTCGTCGCGGCTTCGCCCTCGCGCGCATGAAGCGCTGGGTTCAAAGCTCAGACTCCATCGTGCTTCAGGTTTTGAAATACAATATTCACACGCAGGGACCTGCTGCCAAAGATCTGGAGCAAGCCGTGAGTGCAGACCCTGCAGACAAGAAGGCGCACCCGATGCCGATGCGGGCACGTGTTTCTACTGCTGATAGCACTGGGCTGTCCCCATCCAGCCTGGTAGCAGAAGCTTCTCGTAAGACTTTGAGCTTGAAATCATGACTCCGAGAGCTATGTGAGGCTGGGAAGCCTGGGGTTCTGGGCGATGGGAGTGGCCAGATTTAATCGAGCCTTGCGTTCTGAAGCTTGCAGCAGGGTTTGGGGATTTTGACTGCCGTGCTTGTTTCTCGGCCCTATCGGGAGTTAGGGAATAGCGGGGCCAGATTTTGATGGTGCTCCCCTTGGCTGGGGGGTGGGGCGCCACCCCCGATTAGGAGTACAACAGCGCCTGCTTGCTGGTGCCAGCTATGCTCCATGCAATGTCAAGCTTTCGTTTCTTGAGCACTCAAGTTTTCAACGGTGCCTGGCATGTTTCAACCCTGGTTGCTATGATAGGGGCGGCACGGACATAGAGTTCTTGTTTCAAGCCAGTAGCAGGCCATGTTCTTGAGGCGTCATGATATGCTCGCATTGTAGTGAGGCAAATGCAGAGTTGCAGATGGTACGTCGAATGCTGACAGAGCAGGCAAAGGCCAGGCAGTTGACAACACTGTTCCCTTCAGGCTGCTCCACGCATGTATGCTTGCTAAAGCAGGACGCCCGTGCTCACGCAAAATGCGTGATATGTGACAGCACACGGTCCCCATCAATGCCGACGAGAAAGCAGGATCCTTTGTGCGGTTGTTCGGCCGGGGCATGTTATGGGCAGTACCCAACACCAGAGGCGTACAAGTCTAAGCTTAGCTGCATCAACGGGTACACATTTGAGAGCAGACGGTTTTCATTCTGGTTTCGTGTCCAACCCGTCGATCGGGCAATTCACAGTGGCTGCTCTATGCTGAGGCTTTTGGTCAAGGTGCTCCAGGCCAAGCCGCTCAAGCCCATCAAGCCGGCAAAGGACGAGCATCGTGATGGATGCTCTTTTGTGTTGCTTTTTTGCCGAGAGCACGCAGCATGAATTCGTCGGAGGCGGAAGCCGACATGCCGGTCCGCGAGACGGAGGTTGCGTGGTTATTGTCCCTCTCTGCATCCTGTGCTTTGCAGCTAGATTCTTCAGGCCACTGTTCTGGAGGACTATCAGAGGGTTGACACACGTCGCTGAACCCGAGACGCTTGAATCTGATCATCCACCGGATCCCCGGAACTCGCAAATGCTAACGGCTCCGAGTAGCCACATGCCACCAAGGTGACACGGCGGCGACGAGACACCCCGAGAAATCAGAAAGAGGGGGTCGCGAATCAGAAACTGCGCATCGGAAACCGGGCGCATCAGAACCAGGAACTTTGACATCACGTTGCGGTGGAGGGGGTGGAGATGGGTGGAGGGTGGGGGACAGTGGGGTTGGTGGGGGTGGGCTGGGTTTGATTTCCGAACCCGGGCTTGTTTCTGCATTAGCCGGTCTCGTTTCCGAATCATGCCTGGTTTCCGATTCAGCCGTTCTGGTTGCGGATTCATTCCGATTTGTCCCGCGACGGCGACCGCGACGTCGACAGCGACGACAGCTACTCTACTACCACTAGCACCAGAAGCAGTACTGATTGCCATTGCTATGGCTTCTACTACTCCTATGCCACTGTGCTGCAACTTTTGCAAGTACCATCAAGCTATCTGCGATGCGCAGCACGATGGCGAAAACTGCTACTATTGACCATGACGACGATGATGACGACGCTTCTAACTACTGTTGTCAATGCCACAGCTGAGTTCAGCTCCCTTGCTGAGAGCATGACAGGGTGTCCTTTTTCAATCGTTGCGTTTGCTGCGCAACTTCGGCAGGGTTTTAGTGGTCCGGCGAAATACTGCTGCATCGGCGAAATGCAGCTTGGTGAGCCAGCTGACCATGCTATAGCCGCATAAGTAGCCGTAGCTGCAGGCAGAAAACGTGCTGCTGTTGAAGTGCATGTTCAACAATGCTGTTTTTGCCCATCTTGTTCAGAGCTCTGGAATGCTCTTTGGATAGTCAGTCTACTGAAGTTTGTTGCAGTGGTATGCCGAAATCGAAAGAAGCCAGTTCGAAGCAAACGATAGATGAACCCGTCTGAAAACAAAAAACAGGTATCTTTCGAAGAGAGCAGGTTTGGTGGCATGTTTGAATTGGTTGGATTGTTCGAGTCTTGGTTCGGTGGCTGGTGGCTTCAGTGCATAAGTACTGCACGGCTGTTTCTGATGTGTCAATCGTGCAGGAAGCAGGCGATGTCCCGGCGCCTCCATGCCAAGAGCTCATAAACTCATGGCCCAGGCTGTTGAAGCTGTTCCTTGCCAGCGTGTTCCACAAAGGTCCTCCTTCGGCATCAGCGCCGTCGGCTCGGACATACGTTCCACGCAGCGTGCGCCGGCCCGGCCGGTTTGTTCTCGGGTGCGGCTTGCCATTGCTCTCTGTGCCTTTCAGAGCAAATGGCAGGAATGCGTGGACTCCGAGCTCCCCTTGCGGAGGCGGACGGGCTGATGCAGCGATCGCTAGGACGCTCCAGTCCAACAGCCCCGCAGCCGGGAGCCCAGGCATCCGACCATGGTCCAGGCGGCCAAGGCATGGGGGAAGCCATTGCAGAGCATTGCAGAGCATTGCGGAGCCTTTCCTGCTCGGTCCGTGCAGGTGCCGCTAAGAAACCAATGAGTTTCTATCAGTTTGAGGCAGGCTTCTCGCTTGCAGCTTTGCATTTCGCAGAATGCCGCACAGTCGTCGCAGTAGTCAAAACTTCTGCCAGGCACAATGGGCACGTAGCAGGCCTGGGTCCTGGACTACTGGCCTCGCTTTGCAGCCAACATTCATTCCTTTGGGCTACATTCTACAATTCATGCATGCACCAATTCATTGCATGATTCAGACGCGAGGATTTCTGTGATGCAGTGGAAGCAGTACCGAGACTGGCAGGGTTAGCCCAGGGATTGGGCTTCCGACACGCTGCCCCTCTGTTTTCGTGCTATGCCGCTATGCCGAGCTGTCACTTCGTGTTGCGGCTCTCGATTCCGTGGATGGCGACACATAAATCTGCCAATTTGATCCCTTATCCGTCACATGAGTCATATGCCTTGTCTGGGTCTCTGCCATTGGATGTGCCAGCCCGAGGCCAATGGATCGAGCTTCGTTATTACACAGACTGGGTGCCGCTTCCCTGCCAGCCCCTGCCCTCAGCAAGGCCGCGAGGTTGTTTGCTTGGCAGTGCGTTGTCAGAGAGGCGCTCTTCCGGGAATCTTTGGACTCGGAGTTGCTGGCATCGATTCTTGAGGACCGCTTTCCTCGCCGCAAAAATTGAATGTCTGACACCAGCCACATGGCTTTCGCTTTGCCGCTTCGCAGGCCCTTGAGGTCGATCTTGCTGAAGGCCAACAAATGGCGTTGGATTATTTGCAGTCCTTGGAACCGCGGGCGCAGGGCATTCTCAGAACCAGTTTGCCGCAGAAGTCTTGGGCTCACTCTCGAGGCCTACTTTGGCAGTGTGTGCCTGACATTGATATGCGGTATATGCGGTCAGGACACCCCGGTTCGAGCTGAGTCTCCAGAGTCTCACTGTGCCGGAGCGTAAACACTTGGACGAGGCTGTATGGGTGCTTTGCTTCACTCTTGGCTTGCATGCAGCCAGAGGTTCTCGCCAAGCTGCGTGTTGAAGTGTCGGCAGAGGCGTGTATCCTTGCCGCAATACATGTGCTGAGAGGACAAGTGTAACGAGATTGGCAGGAGATGGCAAAGCTCGACGATGCTTTCAGGCCTGCCGTGAATGCCGTGGCATTGCAGTTTTGTAAATCCGTAGCAACCGTAGCGCACACAGCGATGCCGCATGTCTGGATGGGCTAGACTTGAAGATGCCGTCGTGTCCTTCAGCGTGCAGCAGTGTGTGAGTCGGTGCCAGTGTTTTGTGGGCCTGCGAATGCATGGATGTGTCAGGCAGAACGCCGGTTGTTTTAGCTCAGGATATTTGGGAGCTCCTTAGAACAGCATGAACAGCAAGCAGAAGCGACGCGAAATGCTCACGCCCTGTGTGACTGGTCTTAGCCATGGATCAGATCAGGTCATGGCTCAGACCTGTTATAATTGCAGGATTGTAACATGTGAAAATCCTTGCATTTTTGTTCGGGCTTCCGGGTTTTCTGTTTCCGTTCCGGGGGGGCGGTCCGGTACTTTGTTGCTAAGCGTTCTAAACTCGCGTGTCTGTGGGGTTACTTGGGTTGACATCAATGTGTTAGGGGAACATCGTCTTGGCTCTTTGCTATGAGGCTGCACGCAAGTAGAGCAGCGAATGACACATGCTGGCGCAAGGAAAACAGCTAGCACGGCGCTAGGCATGTTTACAACCGCATGCTCAAGGTGAACCTCTTGTGCAGCTGCGCGTCGTATTCAGCATACTTGTAATGTTACTTTTGGCAGGTAAAGCAACATCAGCACTCAGTTTACAACATCCATGTGCTTCCAAGATCCATGCTCGGTACGTGGATTGTCGTGGGTTGTGGTTGCCAAGTGTTTCAAAGACCAAAAGTCGCTAGGTGGATTTGTGAGGTTTGCGGGAGATACATGCTTCCAAGATCGACGCTCGGTATGTGCCGCTGCGGGTTTTCTGGCAGCTCTGCTTCCTTATCCAATCGAGCATCCAGTCACAGGTCTTTTTTGGGCATTTATGGGAAACCAGTGCTAGCTCGGCGATAGCGGAATCTCACCGCAGCCTGCCCCAGAAGACTGATGGTTGGCCCACTTCACCCCACAATCCAAGATCCCCTGGAGCATTAAAGGACAGGATCCGGGTTAGGCCCTGTGGAATGGAAAAAGGTTCATGATCAGGGCCGAGATGGCTACTATACATGCAGTACGGCGCATCGAGCGAGTGGGCTTAGAGGTCAGCAGCGCCGGAAATGTGAATTGTGTGGACGTTATTTCATGAGCCTGTCATGGGCAGAGCAGGTCAGATTCCTGTCAAAATTCGCATCAGTCCAGCTGCAGCAGTAGCAGTAGCAGTTCTACCGACAGCGCGTAGGAATACAACTACGTATCCCAAACACCAGTGTTTATCACTACGCATCTGTAAGCCTGTTCTCCTTTTGCCACATGAAGAGAACAACATTTTGACAACCACCCTATTGCAGCTGTATCATCAATGTCTGCCTGTTTCGCTTCTACATTAGCTGAGGTTTTTACTACAGCAGCACAGGCAATATCGAAATTCACAATAAAGCTGTAAAAGATACAACTAAGAGGATTGATGATGCAAGTTGCACCCTTTAACTTCCGCTATTGGCGCTTATGTATGTTTTAGTGTAATAATGATCATTCTGCTGTGTGTTTCTTTCATCGTATTAATAACATTTGTATTAATATAGTTGCGCCATCTACAACAGCAATAGCATTATCTCATTATCCATTTCTGTATTGTTGTAGAAGTTGTGTTTAAGTCGGTATTAAAGTCTTTTGTTGCAACTGGTCCTAATGCATCGTAGGGTTGCCGTTCTGTTGGTCCCCCATCAGCACCCGGAAAAGCTTCATAATTCAGTATTTGGGTAACGTATCATTGCACATCAACCTTTAAGATCTTTTCATGTATACTTTTCCAATCAAGATGAATCATAGAGTTTCAGCTTTTGTATTTTGTTGGAAATGTATCGTTTCTGGCAGTGATGTTATACCAGCGCTGCTTCGTGCTCAGTTTTTCTATCATGGTTTTGTGTTATTTCATGGTCAGGAAAAGAGAAACACATAGGTTCCGGCAGCGTCCTCTTCCCCATACCGTTTGTTTCCAATCTCGATTTCTTTTCTTGCCGATGGGGTCTATTCTCACCAGTCTAGTAAGCTGACAAATGCAAGGAAAGTTTCAGCGACACTGTTTTTACGATGATTCTCAGCGAGACTGTTTTTTACGATGATTCGTCAATATTTTTGCATTGATAGAGAATATGAAAGCGTACGCTAGTTAAAGCTGTTCCATATCACGATGATAAGGTAATGAATGAAGGTAAGAAACATGCATGAAGCATTAACTGCTCAAAACGTGTCATGGTCACTGGATGAGTTTTGGTCTGTAATTTGACAATGTCAAACACATCGTTGTTTGCAGTTCTTAAGCATATATCCTCAGGACGAAGGTAGAGCCCGGATAACAGGCATACCCTGGTATACAGTATGTTTGGTCGAGTGGGTGTTTAGGCACCATTTTCAACGTCGCTTCGTTCCGTTGTGCAGTTTTGTTGCGGTACTGAAAAGTAGATACGCAGCCACTGATTTCACATCTTTCGTTTTGACGGGGCACTGTTCTCTACGGCACGAAATGGTTGCGGAACCCGCCCTGGCCAGAGTGCCTTCGTCGTCGCCGCGTTGTATTTGCGGGATATGCGCGCGTTTTTACATATGTTCGTATGCTTGGTTTGTTCCTTTATTCCCCAGAGCTTTAGCTGAGGGGTTCTTGATTTGCTCAATAGAAAAGGATTCTCTAACGTTCATTTCGATTTCTCACGGCACTACTCTAAAAATCGCTACTCATTTGTCTCCCACTTGTCTCCCACATTCAGGATGCTCTAACCCCCATCTGTGACCTTTGGTTCTACTCGTCATATTCATTTGTCTCCCACTTGTCTCCCACACCCTGGATGCTCTAACGCCCGTCTGGGACCCTTGGTTCTACACGTCACACTGATTCCCCGAACAGCTTGAGCTGAGGGGTTCTAACGCTCATTTGGATTGCTTATGGCACTACTTTACAAGCCACTACTACTCATTTGTCTCCGACTTGTCTCCCATTTGTCTCCCACATTCTGGATGCTCTAACGCTCGTCTGGGACGCTTGGTTCTCTATTCGCCATACTCATTGGTCTCCCACTTGTCTCCCATTTGTCTCCCGCATTCTGGATGCTCTAACGCCCGTTTGGGACCCTTGATTCTACACGTCGTATTCATTTGTCCCCCACGTGTCTCCCATTTGTCTCCCACATTCTGGATGCTCTAACGCTCGTCTTGGACCCTGGGTTCGTCATATTCATTTGTCTCCCACTTGTCTCCTCTTTGTCTGCCACATTCTGGATGCTCTAACGCTCGTCTGGGACGCTTGGTTCTCTATTCGTCATACTCATTGGTCTCCCACTTGTCTCCCATTTGTCTCCCGCATTCTGGATGCTCTAACGCCCGTCAGGACCCTTGGTTCTACACGTCGTATTCATTTGTCCCCCACGTGTCTCCCATTTGTCTCCCACATTCTGGATGCTCTAACGCTCGTCTTGGACCCTGGGTTCGTCATATTCATTTGTCTCCCACTTGTCTCCTCTGTGTCTCCCACATTCTGGATGCTCTAACGCTCGTCTGGGACGCTTGGTTCTCTATTCGTCATACTCATTGGTCTCCCACTTGTCTCCCATTTGTCTCCCGCATTCTGGATGCTCTAACGCCCGTCAGGACCCTTGGTTCTACACGTCGTATTCATTTGTCCCCCACGTGTCTCCCATTTGTCTCCCACATTCTGGATGCTCTAACGCTCGTCTTGGACCCTGGGTTCGTCATATTCATTTGTCTCCCACTTGTCTCCTCTTTGTCTCCCACATTCTGGATGCTCTAACGCTCGTCTGGGACGCTTGGTTCTCTATTCGTCATACTCATTGGTCTCCCACTTGTCTCCCATTTGTCTCCCGCATTCTGGATGCTCAAACGCCCGTCAGGACCCTTGGTTCTACACGTCGTATTCATTTGTCCCCCACGTGTCTCCCATTTGTCTCCCACATTCTGGATGCTCTAACGCCCGTCAGGACCCTTGGTTCTACACGTCGTATTCATTTGTCCCCCACGTGTCTCCCATTTGTCTCCCACATTCTGGATGCTCTAACGCTCGTCTTGGACCCTGGGTTCGTCATATTCATTTGTCTCCCACTTGTCTCCTCTTTGTCTCCCACATTCTGGATGCTCTAACGCTCGTCTGGGACGCTTGGTTCTCTATTCGTCATACTCATTGGTCTCCCACTTGTCTCCCATTTGTCTCCCGCATTCTGGATGCTCTAACGCCCGTCAGGACCCTTGGTTCTACACGTCGTATTCATTTGTCCCCCACGTGTCTCCCATTTGTCTCCCACATTCTGGATGCTCTAACGCTCGTCTTGGACCCTGGGTTCGTCATATTCATTTGTCTCCCACTTGTCTCCTCTTTGTCTCCCACATTCTGGATGCTCTAACGCTCGTCTGGGACGCTTGGTTCTCTATTCGTCATACTCATTGGTCTCCCACTTGTCTCCCATTTGTCTCCCGCATTCTGGATGCTCTAACGCCCGTCAGGACCCTTGGTTCTACACGTCGTATTCATTTGTCCCCCACGTGTCTCCCATTTGTCTCCCACATTCTGGATGCTCTAACGCTCGTCTTGGACCCTGGGTTCGTCATTCGTCATACTCATTGGTCTCCCACTTGTCTCCCATTTGTCTCCCGCATTCTGGATGCTCTCTCTTTCTGGATGCTCTAACGCTCGTCTTGGACCCTGGGTTCGTCATATTCATTTGTCTCCCACTTGTCTCCTCTTGTCTCCCACATTCTGGATGCTCTAACGCTCGTCTGGGACGCTTGGTTCTCTATTCGTCATACTCATTGGTCTCCCACTTGTCTCCCATTTGTCTCCCGCATTCTGGATGCTCTAACGCCCGTCAGGACCCTTGGTTCTACACGTCGTATTCATTTGTCCCCCACGTGTCTCCCATTTGTCTCCCACATTCTGGATGCTCTAACGCTCGTCTTGGACCCTGGGTTCGTCATATTCATTTGTCTCCCACTTGTTTCCCACACCCTGGACGTTTTAACGCCCGTCGACCCATGGATTCCGATTTTGTCTCCCATGGATTCATACTTGTATCCCTGTGTGAAATGAACAAATTTTGCTTGCCGTGATGTCGATCGATCGAAGTTCGGTGGACCGATGTGTGTCGCGCGGTGCACGGGTTCATGATGCAAAACCTTCGCTAAACAAGTGCCGGCTCAGCATGATCGGAGCTGCAGGCGTTTCCGCCATTGCGTCTCTGCGACTTCTCTGGTTTTTGTTCAAGTCTTGTTTATTGAGGGGTTGTTGAGCCATTTTTTATCAACCGCGATGATTTTGTTGCTTCTGTCCTGGCTTGCTCCAAGTCTTGCTTATTGGGGGCGAGAATGGCTACGTGTGTAAGTTGCAATGCTTGATGTGTCAAATGAGAGCTTCTGGACATCAAAACGTTTGGACAACTATACTGTACTCAACGAGCTGTAGCGTGCTGTCGCAGCTTCATTCAACGGAGCCTGCGGCGAGGGACAGGGGAACATTCCTTGGCAACTGTACCCACAGACGCTACTCAGCACTTCTTGTAACGCAGCAGCCAATATGTCCCCACGTCAAAACGCCGGGTCAATACTGTCCTCCCTCTACCTGCGCCAGAGCCTGCGCTGCCGCGGCCTACGGGGCTTTGTAAGGGTATCCACACGAAGCACTGCCGAGCCAAAAAAATCAATCCAAGAAAGCCACCCTCCGGCACCGCAGACTCCGGCGCCGGACGCTCTGGAGGTGTCGGTTTGTCGTACGCGTTAATGAACTGGGGAATGTTTCCTCAAGTCGGAACACTGTTCGTTTCTTTACCTTGTCAGCTAATGGTCCGCTCCGGCGCTTGAGCATGCGGCGCCGGAGAGGTCATTGCTTGGCAATTGTATCCACAGATGCTACTCATGAACTGCGTCAGCGAATATATCACCATGTCAAAACTGCATTCTGCGCCGGAATCTGCGGTGCCGGGCCATAGGCTAGAAGGGGAGAGCTGACGCAGCTGAACCACAAAAGGAGCTTTCGTGTTTTGACCATCGCAAGATGACCAAAAGAGCCGACAAGCAACATAATTCCCACCCCCCCATGCTTTCCACCTAACTTCTAGGCGAAACCGAGCCAAAATCTGCACGACAATTGCACGGCTGCTATCGCTACTTCTCAGTTGTTGTTTGGGGTCGAGGCTGGTATAGTTGGTCCTTGCTTCCCAAACACTTGCGCACATGATGGGGTTCGAAGGTTCAGGGAAAATGGTATTGAGTACTGAAGCCGCACGGGCGCACGAAAAACGTTACCCGAAAACGCCGCTCCCGCTGTGGCGCGATGCAGAATCGTGCATACATACTCTGTGCTCACACTCACAGCAATTATCAGTGCAGCTCGTCCTGAGAGCCGGAGTCTTGCATGTCTTGGCAATGATGGTGCGGAGCAGGCCAATGCCGCCTGCAAGATGCCCTGGCCCGCTGGATCATGAGGCATGTCTGGCCTTGACCTGCTATACGTGAACGCCAGATTCCTACTTTGCACTGCTTCCCAGGAAACGGATGAAGACGATGTTCCTGATGAAACTCGGCGACATGTCTGTGGGTATCATCCGAATTCAGTGGGTTGTTCCTGCAAGTAGAACATGGGTCGGATGGTAGCGATGTGCTTTGTTCAGTTTGCCCTGTGACACTGTAAAGCTTGAGTGTAGATGGCATGGGATGTAATGTCAATGAGCTTTGACCTTCCTGTGATTCCATCCTGCACTTGCTTGTTCTGACATATCCCAGTCGATCAATTGCCACAGAAGCTCGGGTTGCATACCGCAGAGGGACAGGAGAAGCGAATTCGCGACCCGGACTCACCACATTGTACAGCGGAACCCAACTCAGCTCCTGTTGTGAGTCATTGTGAGTCCCTCAAAGAGATGATGAGTTGCCGACTCACCACACTAACACTAACAAGGCTGGATGAGGCAAACGCTGAATACCCTACGGTGGCCAAGCCTAAACTCTCAAAGATCGAGGTGTCACGAGCGCTGAGCAACCGCAACCCAATCAACCAGTGTAGGGCCGTGAGCCGGACCGAGCATTCCAGTTTAGCTGGAAGTTGGGAGTTTTGTCTCGTCGTTAGAGCACAAATGGACGAGAACGACCCAACGAAACAGAAGACTTCGGTCGGTAAGCAATCAACAACTTGGTCCCCTCCCGCTCTGCCTCCTCCCCCTCCCCCTCTGCCTGTCTCCATCCTCCCCCTCCTCCCATTCTTCCCTTCTCCCCCTGTCCACTACCTCATGTCCGCGTGGGCATCGCTAGTCATAGCACATGGACACTTGGCATGTGTCCCAAGAATGACACAGCAATTTCATCAAGCTTCAAGATGCTCCCCAAACTGCTCAGGACCGAGGACCGGCGGCGTTCTCGTTGGATGGTTGTGACTGAGAAAAGAGAGTGTCAGGTGTCAGGCACAGGCATGCTGTTGCATCGAAGCCGACTTTGCTTTTGTTTCATGATTGCTCCCTCTCCACATTGGAAGCTGTATTTGCCGAATCACGTCCATGTACCAGAGCATGCAGCCGTGCGTCAACTGGGCGCATGTACCATACCAGGTCAGCAGTTGCATCAAGTGTCAAGAGGGGCGAATACCATCGTGCCAGCCCAGATTGTGAGCCCACGGGCAAAATGTAGAGCAATGCCGCCGAGCTCACCGGGAGGTTACCAGGCGTGAGCCTGCAGAAGGCTAACCCGCACAACCGAAAGGGGCTTTCCAAGAATTTGCATTAGCCTTGCTTGTACGTAGTCAGGTTTATCACGACGTCGTCCCGAAGCCTGACAGCCACAGAGTGCCTGGGAATCCAATCTATTGGGTTGTTGGCCATTCGGGCGTCTGCCTCTTGTCAGGCTCTCGGACACTGACAAGGTGGATGTGCGGAGTACATTTGAGATCACTTGAGCGCAAGATGTCGCAGGGTGAAAAGTGTCACAAGGCATGGGAGTTCACAATTGTAACGCCTCTGCGAGGTGCGCGAACTCGAGTACTGGTGCAAACTTACCTTTCGCTCGGTGGAGCTTCATTTGAAGTGCGAGTCCCAGTGCTAGTTACTAGTTCCTTCATCAAATATCTCGTCGCATGCTGTGCAGTGATATCTTGAATCTTGGGGCTTGTATAAAATACACCAGCACGCCAAGACATCAGACTTTAGTTCGAACCAGCGGCCAAGATTTGTTTTACTTTCCAGCCAAATGTAGGTTCTCTAGCTTAGCGCAGCATTTCTGGCGACCGTGGGCGCTCTTGACAGGACAAAGTTTTCCTTTACCTGCGCTAGTGAGGTTCGATTTTCGGTTCTCAGCTCCCAAAGAGCTCCACCTTTTCCCGTGAGCGTTGGGAGGATCCCTGGATCCCTGCATCCCTGCATCCCTGCCTGATTTTGGGGTTTGAATGCCGATTAGGTAAAATCCTCAGGGCCATGGATTGTGGAACGGTACTGCGGCCGCTCGATCAAGCTCAGAACGGGGCTGTAAGATGCGGCCGGTCGGCTGCCAGAGGAATCCTTGAACTTTGGAGCTTCACTGGAGACGACTTAAGGACAGCCTGGTCTCTCTGTGATACCAGCGACGTGGAAAGGCCGCACAGCGTTCTCGTACCTGTCTTGGCCTTGTGAAAGTGGGAACTGCGCGAAGGATCCGGACGTATGCGGAGAAGCTGGAAGGCTTGCCGCTCTTGCCTTCGATGGCAGTATGTTTGCATGGGGAGTGCAGGCCCTCTTGTCTACAGCTTCCTAGATGTGGAGGACATGGCGCAGCCGTGTTCTACGACTCTAAGCCTTCCACATCTCTGCTGCGGTTTTTAAAGATTTTCGTTCGAAGCGGCTGCAGAGGTTCAAGACAGGTACATGGTGCATCATGGTGCAATGCTGCCTAGTCTCAGAGCACTTTTAGGCAGAAGGTGAAGTAGCGGCTGACTGGCGTTGCAAAGTCTCAGAGACAGAGAGGCGTAGGCCGAAGATGGAGCAGACTTCTCCCAGATTTCTCCACACTGGGGCTCTCAACCCTTGCATGGGGTGTCCGGCCCTGCATGCTTTCAGTGACATTCTATTGCTTTGGCCTTGTAGAAGCCGCAGAATGCGTTAAACACCTGCCATGGCTGCTGTCAAGGTACAGACGTGACTTGCACCGTGCGAGGCAAACCCCCAATCGTTTGTGTGTCCCAGGGTGTCCTTACACCTGGTCTACTTTCACCTGGTCTGCTGGAGGCCATGGGGGCGGCTTTGGAGCACTTTAAAGAGGTGTGTAATGCTTTTGACTCTGCTGGAGGCCTACATGACCAGATACGAGCTGAGCAAAGACCAAGTGCGCCCTGCAACTGTGCCTCTGTGCCTCTCCCCTCCCTTCTTCGATGTTGGCAGCTCAAGGTTCTCGAGCAAAAGGAAGCTTTCGATCTGCTGGACATTGATGGCAATGGCAAGGTCACCTACCAGGAGGTAAAGGAGCTGTGGGCCACGGTACATCATCCAGCGACAGTCTTTCTCGCGCTCGGACTCTAGCATAATCTTGCATACCCGTTCATGCTACTTTACGAGGAGATGAATGCCAAGCTTGGACAGCCGATGTCTGAACAGGACCGACTGCCAATTGCTTATCGTGGTTTTCTCGGTGGGCTCATCGTGGAGCTGGATGCAGGAGCTGTCTGAGCAGTTCACTACGCTTGACGTCGATGGTCTTCCTCCGAGCCAGCAGTAGAGTATGCCTTCGACGTTTACGTTTACTAGTACAGCTACGCTTCTGACTTGCTCATGAGCGCTTTGAGTATCGTTTCGGGGTTTGTCCGAGGCAGCCATGCCGTCACCTTCCCGGAGTTTCTCAAAGTCTACGTGAAAGGTGAGCTCGGAGCCCTGAGTCCTCTCTCCTGTGTCCTCTGTCACGATTCTGAGCCAAGCGCAGTGACAGGCATCCAAGCCTCGTGTTTCTGAGGTTCGGAAGGGATGTTCCTTTGCCCAGAGACGAGGAGACTCTTCAGGCCATTACCCGAGCCCTGAGCCTTGAGCAGCGGCTCTGTGTCAATGCTGGACTTTGCCACAGACGCTACAAAACCCACCACGACCGCTGCCAGCGAGTCCACAAGTAGAAAGTTTGCATGCCCTCACCGTCCAATGGTCGATCTTCGTTACATAACGGGTAACGCGTGGCACCGTGTAGGTGAAGAATTCGAATCGCGAGGTCTTTGTCGATGTATTGCGTGGGGATGAGGACTGGGTCCGGTGTTGTGGGGCAGGTCAGAAACAACAGAAAAGGATCAGTACGCAAATGAGACAACTGCTACTGCTACTGCTACTGCTAGTGCTACTGCTACTGCTACTGCTACTGCTACTGCTACTGCTACTGCTACTGCTACTGCTACTGCTACTGCTACTGCTACTACTACTACTACTACTACTACTACTACTACTACTACTACTACTACTACTACTACTACTACTACTACTACTACTACTACTAACTACTACTACTACTACTACTACTACTACTACTACTACTACTACTACTACCACTTACTATTACTACACTACTACTACTACTACTACTACTACTACTACTACTACTACTACTACTACTACTACTACTACTACTACTACTACTACTACTACTAGCACTAGTACTACTACCACCACTGCTATTATTGGTGCTACTACTGCTACTACTACTCCTCCTCTTCGGCTTCTGCTTCTGCTGCTGCTGCTGCTCCTGCAGCCGCTACTGCTCCTGCTGCTGCTACTTCTGCCGCCACTGTAACTACTACTATAACTACTACTATAACTACTACTAGTACTACGAGGACGACTAGTACTACTACTACTACTACTACTACTACTACTACTACTACTGCTACTACTACTGCTACTGCTACTGCTACTGCTACTGCTACTGCTACTGCTACTGCTACTGCTACTGCTACTGCTACTGCTACTGCTACTGCTACTGCTCCTGCTGCTGCTGCTGCTGCTGCTGCTACTGCTACTGCTACCGCTACCGCTACCGCTACTGCTGCTGCTCCTGCAGCTGCTAGTGCTCCTGCTACTGCTACTACTACTGCTACTACTTCTCCGACGATTCCTGCGACGACGACGACGACTACTACCACTACTATGACCACCACGACTGCTACTATTGCTGCTACTACTACTCCTACTACTGCTCCTACTTCTGCTGCCACTGCCAGGGCCAGTGCCTACTGCTACTGCTGCTCTGACTACCACTACTGCTACTACTCCTGCTGCTTGCGCTTTTCATTATGTGTTTACCAGGCATGGTAAGTAGAGCTGGAGGAATATCCCCTGATAGCCGTGGTTCGAGAGGACTACCATTCGGGTTATCCTTTCAAGTTTGTAGATCCTTGTATTGTGTCGTTCTTGTTGATCTGTTTTTTGATTTGATGGCCCTGTCAGTTGTGTTCGACTAAGTCCTCAATCTCGGCTCCGATGCTGGAGCTTCTGGAACCCTCGGCCAGCCTTTGCTGTTCACACTTGTTGACCTTTCACTTAGGTGAACGACCTGGCATGAGCCTCAGAACGTCTATCTCATTGCGAATCGTGTAATGGATTGTTGCTTCAGGGCTCATGCTCACGGGACTTGCTGATCCCGCGTGAGCCTGCAGCCGAGGCGCCGGGCCGGACTGGTTCCCTCAACCACACGCCATGTGGCGAAATTGGTCGACAGCCCTGGCAGTCTGCTTGAAGTTTTCGCGATGCTTCAGGCTGGATCCGATTGATGAGTCCAAGATGGTAATGAAGTTGTCCCAGAAAAACAGCCAGGGGCCCAGCATGAACGTCGTCGCATGATGATGAAGATGGCTTTGGCCATGCCGGCGATGATGATGAGGTATGAGGATGATTATGACGATGATGATGCTGATGGTGATGGTGATGGCACGGGCTCGCTCAAACAAGACTGATATGCAACAGCGCTGACGACAACGACAACGATGACGATGATGTTTGAGCTTCTGATGTAGCTCATGATTTTGATGAAGATGATGACGAGGATGCTGCTGCTGATGATGGTGATGATAGCGGTGTCCGTCGTGTTGCATGTGCATTGGGGGTCGTCGTCACGTGGTGGTGGTAGTAGTAGCACTAACAGTAGCAGCAGTGGTAGTAGTAGTAGTAGCAGTAGCAGTAGCAGTAGTAGTAGCAGTAGTAGTAGTAGTAGTAGTAGTAGTAGTAGTAGGAGTAGTAGTAGTAGTACTAGTAGTGGCAGCATGTAGCAGTAGCAGTAGCAGCAGTAGTAGCAGTAGCAGTAGCAGTAGCAGCAGCAGGAGCAGTAGCAGTAGCAGTAGCAGTAGCAGTAGCAGTAGCAGTAGCAGTAGCAGTAGCAGTAGCAGCAGTAGCAGTACCAGTACCAGTACCAGTAGCAGTAGCAGTAGCAGTAGCAGTAGCAGTAGCAGTAGCAGTAGCAGTAGCAGTGGTAGTCGTAGTGGTAGTCGTAGTGGTAGTGGTAGTGGTAGTGGTAGTGGTAGTGGTAGTGGTGGTGGTGGCGGTGGTGGTAGTAGTCGGGTAGTAGAGGTAGTAGGTAGTACTGGTAGTAAGTTCTGACTTGCGCAAATGGGCAAAGCATGCCGGCATGCACAGCGCTCATAGCAACAGCCCAATGGCAACTTCCGGTTTTGCGGAGCGGGCCCATAGTGCCGCACAGTAGTTGCTGTACTAGTATTAGTATTAGTATGAGTATTAGTATTAGTAGTAGTATTAGTATTAGTAGTAGTTGTAGTAGTAGTAGTAGTAGTAGTAGTAGTAGTAGCGGTAGAAGTAGCAGTAGCAGTAGCAGTCGCAGTGCTTGTAAGTATCAGTACCGGGACTATTGATTGGCACGAGGTTTACAAGCAATCCTGGTTCCTGTCGCGTGGTAAGAGTAGCAGCAGCAGCAGCAATCTAGAAGTAACTGATGGTAGTCGTGAGCGGCAGCCAGCATTGGTAGTTGCCCGTATGTGGGAATGACACTGACGCCGCAAAATAAGGGCATGGAAACCGCGCATAATCCGTGGAGGTAGGGCAATAGAATATGTGTCTCTCAACGTATAAATGGATCTGCCAATACAAGTACCAGTAAATGCACTCCATTGCTCAACCCGCCACAACCATCGCACTCGGAGACATAGCAATGCCATGATGTCAACTTCGTAGTCACAGCTGCAGATGCAGAAGTATCGGTCCAAAAGATTGCACGACATCATGTCAGTTTGAGCGTCCGTTGAGTACTTGGGTTGTCAGTAGCTGGCATCCGAGCAGCTTGCATGATCTTCCTTCAACAGCACTTCCATAATCTATAAGTGTATAGTGCCAATAGATGAGATTTTGGCCTAAATCTTATGGAACGGAAAATCTGATGCAAGCAGCCTGTACGTACAGGTGTTCGTGGAAGTTGCGCTTTTCCTCGCAAAGCCTCGCGTTCGAACGGACATGATATGGGCTGATCTGAGTCCTGACCGTCCTGACCGTAGCAACGTCCAAGATGCCCAAGTCGATGACAGGCGCAGCCTACTATGTGCGGGTGGCGAAACTGATGCTGGCTGGATCGCAGGCCTTCAAGTGTGCAGTGCAGCTGATGCTAGCAAGATCAGCGATGCGAAGCTAGCATCTGCACAAGGAGAAGCCCGCATCAGACGTGCTCGAACTGAACGCTCTTGGCTATGTCCACCTCTCAAGCGTCCGGTAATCATGTGTACCGGAGAAATGCGGACGGTCACTGAGGCAATTCCGCAAGCGACAGCTGTGGCAGCTGCCTGACACCGTCCCGTCGCGTACGATGTTCCTCCAAGCTAGCCCAGGCGGTCGCCCTTGAGCAGCAGCGACTTGGCAAGGCCTGCGTCAGAGCAGAGCCGCGGAGCTGAGTCCTATGTTCTCTCACTTCACAGGTCCTCTCCATTCGAACGGGACTGCAAGAAGTGCGGACCTCGGCATCTCTGCACCGCGAGAGCCTCCAAGTTGAAGTTTTGATATTGAGAGTCCTGAGTCGACAAGTTACGAGATGCCATTTGCAAGCTCTACATGCTTGCTACCCCAAAAAGTTGGCTGGGGTTTGGACTTAATGAGCTTGGCATGACCTGGAGCCGGAATGTGATTGCTAAAGTTGCATTGCTTGTTCAGATCGTGCTTTAGTTGATCATGAAGCTGGCCACTTGTCTCTTCATGACTTGACTCCAAAGCACTTTTTGCTCATCCGCAGTCCTTGTAATGCTTGCAAGCAAGTTGCTTGTAGAGACCGCTCCGAATTCTGACTTCGCTGCCGCTGCGGGGCTTCCGGAGCATCCTTCGAGGGTGTTGCAGGCATAGACAGAGGGCGCAGGCGGACGAGCGTCAGGCTTTGTGGGCGGGGACTTTCTGGTGTTTGCTCACTAGCGCCTGCTGGGCCAGATTCGCATGGGTCTCGCGGTTGTCTCTTTCTGTACTAAGGTTCCGAGCACAAGCAGACACTGCAGGACGCTCAGCATAACGGTGATCGTGAATGTAGACTGTGCTTCGCGATCGGCCGCCAAGGTCCTGTAATGATAATTCGCGTAGCCCGATCCGCTGAGAGGGAGCCATCCTAGTGCCGCTTGGATCAGCCTGGCTACATTGGCCGGGCATGGAAGGTCAGGTCGGTCGTTACGTCGTGCAGCTAGTAAAGTTTTTATGTGCATCGTACTTCGCATGCATGCGCTTGTTCTGCGTTGGTCTAGCCATTAAAATTTAACACCTTGTGTGAAAGGTCGCTAGAGGCTCCTATGCAAACCAAGCTAATCCCAATGTCTGCCCAAGCTACTGGCTGACAGAGCTGCACTAGCGGCCACTAGCGTGATCAGAGCATGCAGAGCTGGCGCTGGCGCGGAGAATCGAAAACAGCTTCGTTGCCTTTGCAGTGAGCCTGTGCGCCTGCAAAGGAGTACTTGACATGGCGAGTGTCAGGACATCTCTGGTGAGATCCGAGATGGCCGGACATGGGCTGAATTGGTTGAGGCCGCTGGGGTCCTGCCTTGCCTCTCCCAACAAATCAGAGTCCGGCCGAAGGCTGGCTATCTGGATGTTGACTGGCGGGATGTTGAGTTCCCGGCAGTGCCAGCTTGGATTAAGGTCAGTTCAGAACTCTGGACAGAGAAGAGCGCTTGAACTAGTTTGGTTACGCGAGCCTTCCAATTGAGTGCCAGAAGCTCGCCCGAGGGCACAAAGTGGAGAGACAGCAGGTTTAGGGTTTAGTGGCAAGCTTCAGTTCGGGATGCAGGCAGGGCCAAGGCAAGACAGGTTGGTTTGCAGTAATTAGAGTGCAAAGCAACGGAGCAAGGGGCACCCTCCAAACGGGCACCCTCCCGTGTTGTGATCCGTACACGTACATTACCTCTTGCTGTCTTGCGTTGAAGTTCAAATGCAGTTCGGTGTGCACACATTTTCTCTGAGCAGAAAGCACAGACCTCAGAGTGAAGTGCAGGAAGACTGGGGACAACGGGTTCGGGTTTGCTTACCATCGGATAGCATGACAAGGACCCCTAGAAGGCTTAAGAGGGGCACAAAGTCTTCCAGTGCACACGTTTCAGTACAGCTGAGCCCATTCTGTCACAGTCAGGGGATGGGGCCGCTCTGACGAGCGGGAGATAGGGACTGCCTGCTTCCCATGCCCCAGAGCAAAACAAAGAGAGAAAGAGTGTGTGGAAGGAGGGAGCCCGCCACTCTCTACCTGAGGTTCAGCTTTGGGGTTGCTTGCCTGGGTTCCCCATCTCTCTCTTTCTCTCGCCAGGGCTATGGTGGAGGGTTGTGGCGTGCCCCGAGTTTCTGCCGCGCACACTAACTCAGGCATGGACTCCCGAAGATTACCCATCTCTCTGTCCCTCTCTCACTCTCTCTTTTGCTCGAACGTGTCACTCCTTCCAGTAACTCCCAGTGTGGATATCGAGCGGGAATTCAACGCACATTGACCCTCCTGGCTGAGTGGAAGGGGAGGGAGAGATCGCCCTTCTTCTACAAAACTGTCGGTTGAGCTTGCCTATAAGAAGCCTTCAACTTACTTTGCTTGTCGTCCTGATCGAAACTCCCAGTGCTTTCACCCCTGCAATGGCGGGTGGGATTGTGGCCCGGGGGGCTTGGCCGCCCCTTATGCCCTGGAGAGAGAGATCGAGTGGCTGCAGCATCTCACGTCTTTTACGCTCGATTTTCACCCCTCATTGCACTTCCACAGGGTATACGGGTGGGCTTGAAGCCCGGGGGCAGTGACCCGCCTTCATGTCCGAGAGAGAGACAGAGAGAGATCTCTCCTCGCGACCGAACGGCAAACAGTGCCACACCGCTCCCCGAGACGAGGCGCGAGGCGGGGGTTTGCTGATTAGGATAATAAGTTCAGGGGGCTATACCGGAACCAGCCGGCACGTCGTTCAAGCTGGGGGAGGTTTTTTCACCCAGAGACCAGAGCCAGTGCGCACTCGTGCGAGGGGGGGGTTCTGCTTCCTCTTTGGCTGCGTGAAAGCAAGCGAGAGAGTGCGAAAGAGAAAGCGAGAGAGAGAGAGAGAGAGAGAGAGCCCCCGATAAACATCGGGGAAAGAGAGAGAGAGAGAGAGCGAGAGCGAGAGCCGGGGTCAAGTTAGCCCTCCTCGCAACAAGCCGGGGGAAATAATGACACAGGCCGGTGACTGTAAAGAGTTCGAGCCCTTTGTGACGGTAAAGAGTTTGAGTCTTGTACCACACGGTACCACGTCAGAGCCGGGTTGTTGTTATGGATGGTTATGGAGTTATGGTGGTTGCTGCTGCTAGAGGTCTTTTCGAAAGCTTTGACGGGGGGATTTATGATCCTGTAAAGCCGAGCCCCTTGGCGAAAATTGCAAAAGGGGGAATGGACTCGCTAAACCAAGCGGGGGTGCGTTCGCACGCGAAGAAGCTGCCTGGACGCTGCAGCTTCTTCACGCCCGGTAGCAAGTAAGCAAGCGAGAGCCGGCCACTCCACAATACAATGGGTGGTTGGGTGGGCCACTGGCCAGAGAGTCGCGGGACGACGCCTAAGTCCCAGTAGACAGAAAAAGAGAGCGCGAGCCTTGCCGATGCCTCTGTGAAAGTTGCTATGGATTCTGCACCAAACCCAGCGTGCTTCCCCTCGAGACCCTTTTGAGTGGTGCCTTCAGGTAGACGCATTGCCCCACGCGCCAAAGGAATACTGCATCAGTCGACAGGGGATCAGCTCAGCTTGCTGTATCCATTGGTCTTGCTGCCGGTGTGTGTGTGTGTGTGTGTGTGTGTGTGTGTGTGTGTGCGTGTTTGGTTCGGCCACCGCGCACCCCAGGCCCCTTCTCCGAGCCAGTGCCCCCCAGCTTAGCACCCACGTGAAGGATCACGAAGGGGAGAGCCGTTGCTTCGCTGCTCGCTCACTCATCCGAGAAATGGTGGGACCAAAGCTGGCAGGCGACTGGTTTTTACAATGCTACAATCTGTTGCCTTTGATCTTGTGGAATATGTCATGCCTGCATGTATGCTGTTGTGTGTAGAATTCGTTGGTGCTGATGCCGTATGCCGCCTCTGAAACAATGCTTGATCCCGGGAAGTAAACCCCAGCCGAGAGCTGCTTGCGGGCACCTGCAAGAGAAACGCAATTTGAGCACTCAGGTTGATTGCAGCTGAGTTCTGTGGAATATATATATATATATATATATGTATACATACACATGTATATTTGGCACTTGCGTTGACTACCTTGAGGGGGGCAGCTGCCTAGCTTCGAGGCCTAAGGACGCCAGAGTACAAGAGTGTGGTGTGCATGCAGGTGTTGGGTTGTTTGCCATCTTGCTGTAGTCCGATTTGCCTTTGAAGCGCTGGCACCCTCAACAAGGTGGGGTGCACTCGCGGGAGGGGGAGGGGTCACACCATTCCCCCAACCATTGTGAAAATTGTGAAAGAAAGAAAGAAGGAGAGAGAGGGAGAGAGAGCGAGAGAGGGAGGGATTGCATGCGGAGGGGTGGGCAGTCCACTCTTCTTGTCTGTGTGGAAGGAGAGGGAGAGGGAGAGAGAGAGAGAGAGGTAGCCATTTTGGCTCAAGTACCACACCTTGTACTTGGGGGTCTGTTCCGCCCTCTTGTGCCGGGGGGGAGAGGCAGGGAGTTAATCTGGGCTGTCGACCCGGAGGAGCTGCCCTCGCCTTGACCCAGTGGTGCTTGAGTCTTCCGCCGTTGCCATTGTACTTAAGTGGCCCTCTCTCGTCCTGACGCTAGGGGGGAGCCATTCTCGCAGAGGGCAAGTTTGTTGCCCTACCTCTCCAAGCGTGACCTAGTTACTGCAAGGACCTGCAGGGGCACTCGCCGATCCTAGAGTGCGCGACCCAGCTCATGGAAACCTCCGGCCCCCATAGGGTACCCACTGAAGACCTCCTGGAAGACATCCAGGAACTGTGTGCCCTGCTCAAGGAGGGCACCCACCTCTTCCACTCGATGCCGTGGTCCAGAGAGTGGGGGGAAGTGCACAAAGGCGAAGACCTCGCCTGTAGAGCAGAGGAGCTCTGCGAGGACACGCGGCAAGCAGTACGCAGAGGTGCCGAGACGGACGAGGACACCATCGACTACGTGTACCAGCAACTGGGCGAGATATTAGCGGAAGTGGCCGGCGAAGCAGCGAGGGCACACGAAAAAACCTGGGGGAGCCCGGGCGAGAGCCAAAGAGACCTCGCACAAGCGGCAATGTCTCCTACGCCCCTGAGCAAAGCAAAGCAAAGAGAGAGAGAGAGAGACAGCCATCCACCCCTGCCCTGGCGAAAGAAAGATAGAGAGCAAGCTCTGGACAAAAGAGAGCGAGAAAGAGAGAGAGAGAGAGAGATCTCCCCCGATATACGAATCCAGGGTCACACACATGCGAACATGGTCGCAGGCCCGAATGGGGGATGGATCGTGACCATCGGCAACAATGCGGGCGAACAACCAAGCACCGAGACCCTGGCCAGTGGACTGCCAAGAGTAGTACGAGAAGGACAGGAAGGCACAGCAGTGACCGCGCCGCCGCTCACAGCTGGGATCGTGGCAACCTTCACGGCCATCAGCGATACGCACTGGGTCCTGCAAATCACAGATGCTCCAACCGCCGGCAACCATATGCCGGGGACCATGCTCCTTACAGCTGGCGACCGACTGCTGTTCGAAGAGGTTGACGGCGAATGGGTCATAAGGGTAGAAGCCCTATCAACAGACCCCCCTGCTGACATCCGCCGTCTGCGACAGCCGGCACCCAACCGGAAAACTGCCGGGGGGAAATCCACAGCAACACACCCACCAACCCCCCCCATGCAGACCATCAACGAGCAGGGAGCTGGCGACACACAAACCACAGACACAGGAGCCAGCTCTTCTCACGAAGCCCCGCGCTCGTACTACCCACCGGCACGCAAGCAGGAGTCACCCCAACGAACTACCAGTTCCGCAGCCTCTGATAGCCACATTGACCAGAGCCGAAGCAAGGCCGCCACAGCCAACCAACAACCAGCCTTTGTGGACAGACGCGAGCTACGACGAAACCAACCTGGCCGATTACAGCCGCAGCCACCACAACGAGCAGTCCCGACTCCAGCAGACACTAACAGACCAGGGCTCACACCACTAGCTGCCCAGATCCGCGACGGCCGAAACATCGGACCAAAGCAACCGCACAACCAGCAGCATGACAATCACCAGCAAGAGGACAATCCGGACGACGACCGGAACAGCCTCATGCAAAAAAGCATTTTCTCAGCATCATTACCACCAGCTGCAGACACTACAGGCACAGAGGGGGATACCGACTCCCGATCACCACCACCACCACCTCCACATCCAACTCAGCTTGAGCCCACCTCGCCGGGGGATATAAGCATGGGAGCAGGAAGTATGGAGCAAGAGCCACAACAACATACAACGACCGCAGCCCAAGCATCACAGTCCCACCTTCACAACAGTGACCCAGTTCCGGACTTGACCCGAGAACACTCGTGGCAGAAGGTGGAGCGGCACCTTGAAGAGATCCGCCGAATTATTCGGTCACACGAGGGGGCAACGGCGGAAGCAATCCTGCATAACGCAGACATGGCACTCATGAACCTGCTCGTCGACACACCGACAGCTGCAGCACTCGAAGCCACACAAAACTACAGCAACCCAAACACGGGGGGACAAGGCACACACCAGCAACACATACACTCACAGCCTGCAGAGCCGTCCTACAGCTATACAGCCACAGTGCTCCAAGACCCACACAAAGCAGCCTGCATCGCCGCAGCAGCATTGCAAAGCATTGCACGTAGACAAATGTCTCTCGGGGGATTGTGCATAAGCTACGGCCAGTTAGAACCTCACGTAGCAGCCCTTATGCAATGGCTCTCGTCGCTACCTGTGGGGGATATTGCTGTTCGGATCCAGCTGCCGCCAATTCTGGGGCCACTGCGTGGCGTCTTGAACAGGATCCTGGATGGCGATACCACCACCGGAGACTGGGCACAGCTCATCGCAGTGGCAGAAGCCTTGGAGAAGCTGCTCAAGGGGGACAACCTCACGCACCCCGCCAACGTCTTGGAAATGGCAGCAGGGAGCCATGATACAAACTTGGTGGAGCGAGCGGGGGGACCCGCGACATGGGAGACCGCGATGCTACAAATGCAGGAGTGGGCCGGGGGACTTGACGAATGGCCCGTGGCCCGCCTTCCTCAAGTGCAAGAGGCCGCCATGCAGCTGCTCCGGGGGATCTCAAGACGGATCCCAGAAGAAAAGCATGGCCTGCCCAACACGACTGGGGAATGGTGGAAGTTCGAGAGGCACCACGGCATGGGGAACACGGCACTCTTCCATGGATGGACACCACAAAGCCCTGGCAGCCCTAGCAGCTCACGTGGGCGGGGAACGCGACGACCGCGCAGCCCCTCCTCGGACTTGAGCCACCGACGCCGTCGTCTTCTAGCTGAACACATGCACGACGACACGTGAGGCAGACGTGAGCCGGTAGCAATAAGCAGACTTGGGGGGACTCGGGGGACCTATAGGTTCGTGTTCACTACCCTAAATGCCTTTATCAACTCATATTAGAAGAAAGTCCGCTCCCTCGCAGTACGTTAGCACCAGGACTGGGGATGTGGAGCATCCCTTCAGTACAAGCGTACAGCATCTGGCAACAACGCTTTTGTCTCATCGCTATTCAGGTCTTCTTTCTGCAAGCTGTTGTTTCATCCTCAAGAAGCCGATGCAAATGTACTGTATCCTTGCTTTATGCTAGCCCGGGGACTAAAGTGTCGTTAATTGTTTTACACTGCTCTTTAGTTCCTATGCCTCTGATTGCTTTGACAAACCGGGCTAGCTACGCAGATCACCCTACGGAAACTAATCCACAAACCTAAAAGCTCTGATATTCAGACCTGCTGTTTCCAACTTAGTGTTGTGATGTGGATCAGGATCCATGCAGGATGATTGATAGTCAGGTAAGCCTAGTACGACACAAGCGGTCGCGGGGGAACCTTAAACCGTGACTCTACGCTTTATCCGGTGTCCTGTTACTCATCTGGTGCTGACAGATGATGGATCCCCTGCACCGATACCGTACAGTATATTGAAAACATGAACCGGGGGGAGCAAACTCACTTTTACCATGCTAGTGATGTTTCGGTGTTGTCTTTCAAGTTGTGTTATAGCATGCACTCATACTCCCGGAGCTGATGTAATGATGAACTGTGCACAGAGGTAGTCGAAATTCCCTGGGGGATCGCATTACATTCTTTCTGTACTGCTTACTCAGTCTTACTATGGGCTGCAAAGATCCACCTAGGGGGGACTACGAAACAAATTTCACACTCCTCCAAAGTCCCCACAATATATGGGGGGGCCCTAGTGGCCGAGGGGTCTTAACAGCCCCTCATGCCCGGCGGAAGAAGATCAAGAGAGAAAGAAAGAAATCAAGAGAGAGCATGGCCTGAGGTGATGATTCGGTGAATCTGCCGTCTGAGAGTTGTTTTGCCGAGACGCTTCCCCATAACGTATGGGGAGTGCTTGGAGCGCGCAGGTTGGGGGTCGCACCTTCCTCCTCTAAAGCGAACGAATGGCCTGAGGGTCGCACAACGACTCGTGCGCCCAGCAGAGAGAGAGAGAGAGAGAGAGAGAAACAGCGAGAGAGCATGAGAAACGTCTTGATTGGCCAGGTCGGGTCGCTGGAGTTACCAAGATCCTTGAGACGTGGAGAGGCTCGCTTACAGTTGTTAGGATTCTGACACAGCTTATTTTCTTCGCAAGGCGAAAACTTTTCTGGCATGCCGAATCGCACTGGGCAGAGCAAGTGCGGTGAAGGACAAGTCTCAACAGAGGTGGGAATGCACGGAGGCCGCTGCACATTGCACCGTGCAGGAAGAGAGCCCCCCCAAGTTTCCCGAATTTTTTGCGCGGGCCCTGCATGTTTTCTGGGAAGGGTCTCGCCGATGGTTGCAATTTTGGAGTCTGGCAGGTCATGCTTGGTTCGGAGTCAGCCATCCCGCCTTGCAGCGAAAGGCCACGGTCTACCCGTAAACTTGCCCAGTACAGCTGTACAGGTTCCAACGAGAAAACATCCTTATCTTGGACGGAATGACATGGTCTGTCTGCAAGTCCAGCCGACAACATGCGTAGCTGGCTATTACGCGCCTCATTCTGAGGGCTGTCTAACCGTCTCATGTCTCTGAGTCATGTCTTGTCGCCTGTCTCTCTGCCTCTCTCCATCTGCCAGCTTTTGTCAGAGTTCGCTAGGCCGCTGGGGCCAATGCCCGCTCGCACCTACATGTCCCTCCGTCAAACTGGGTTGGAGGCTTGGTGGGGGGACACGCTTCATATTTGCCTGTTGGACGGTGCGGATGCTGTCCCTGTCGAGTTACCGGCTGGCGAAGAGTGAAACCCACCTTTCAGCCCACTCTTCGTGGGATCAGTCCACCAGGTTGGGCCCGAGCCCTCGGGAATCTCGCTACTTGTTTCCTTCTCGTCGAAGCTGGTCCCTCCGATGAGATGGCGCACCTTCTCCGCCCGAATCCTCCCAGCATGTGGCCCATTCTTCGCGCGACCTGCTGGGAAGGCTATGCAAGGATGGGGACTGCGTCTCTCACGCCGAGTTTTCAACTCGGCCCGCCCTTGTCCTTCCGACCGCTCCTTGTCGGAACTGCCTTGTCGTTCTTCGGCAGCCAGCGCCCTCTCGGGGGCGATCTCCACCGCAAGCTTTTGCCGGGGCGGTGCTCAGCGCAGGCATGGCTGCCTTTGCCACCACCGTCTGGTTTTCCCCTGGCACCGGGGCGGGATCTTTGTATTCTACCCAGCCCTTCGGGGGTTTTGTAGCTGGGCATGGCCACCCGGCTTTACGGAGTCGGGCCCATTGCGAAGCGGCTAGGGACAAGGCCGCGCATGCACCGCACGGGTCGAGTCCCACTCTCCGAAGGCACATGCAAAACACAATGTCCATGCTGCGAGGCTGCTAGTGGGTTGGACATTGATGAAGACCGGCAGCTGCAGTTCCAGCAGCAGGAAACTGGCGCGGCTGTTCCCACCCGGAGCTAAAGGAGCTCTGTCGGCACCCGGTCCCGGGGATGCGATCCGTCTGGAAGTAGAGCCAGCCTGGCCGTCAGCCTGCTGAGCCGATCAAGTTCAAAAGAGTGAACGTCTGTGCTCTGTAGCGCATTCCCTCCTTGCCGTCCAACTTCAGATCTACCGCGATGCTCAACGGTGTGGCGATCTTTTTTGCATGCCTGTCCGTTCCTGCCTCGGCAGTCGGGTTTTGGCGAACTACCGCTCTCTTCAACTTGGAGGGCGCAGGGGTTGATACGGGTATGGCCACGGTGGTCTGCAGTTGCATCCCTTGGTTGACGCAGGGACGCTCTTAGTCTCGGGCCGCCTTTTTCGATATCCAAGTGGCCCAAGCTATGAGGCAAAAGGCAGGAACATCCTTTTCGACGGTGCCGATCTCAGGCCCGACCTGTTCGCCCCCCGAATCAATGATCTCCTCTCTGTCTTGTCGTGCTCCACGGGGCGGCGAACGTCTGTTTTGTCTACGTTTTAGTGAGGTATGTATGTGAAAAATCAGCTAATCTCTGAGTGAGTTACGTTGTCAGTGAGGTGTGTATGTGGAAAGTCTACCACCCCTCGCCCCGCCGGAGCCTTCTTCTGATGATGCGATGCCTGTCAGCTCGCGGAGCTGAACATGCGGACCCTGTTGCTGACTGGCAGCAGCTGCACCGACCTGTACACCGACATCTCAGCATGTTCTTGCGCCCTGCACGCAGATCCCCAATGCCAGGGTATATCGGGTACGGCATCGGGATCAAGTTCTACCTTTTGCCTTGTGCGAGGCAAGCACAACAAGAGTAGATACTGGTGTTCTCTCTGAAGACTGCACTACAGTCACTACAGACTGGGGTAGCCCGCACGGAGCTGGCGCCTGTTTCAAGGTGGTCTTCGAGGAGCGGCGCGCGGTTGCAAAACCGCTGGCAGAAGCCTTGGTGGATTCGGACCAGAAATGCTAGGCCAAGTCCCACAGTCGACATATGACGTGTAATCCAAATCCTTGCGAGCTAGGAGCTGCTGTTGAAGGTGACCTTTGAATTGTGTTTACGTGTTCTCATCCTCGCTGCTGGTGCACGTGCTCAGATCTGCGAGTTTTGCGAGCAGCGACCAGCAACTGTGTACTGCAAGTCGCGTCCCTAGTTTTGAGACAAGCCTGCGGTCGATTCAGCAAAGTGCTGCAAGGAATGACAACGCACACTTCTGTGCAGCGTGGCCAACTCACTGTCTTCTCTGTCAGGCCTTTGGGTACATTTGGTTTGTGGATGCTTGTGACAAGGTGCGATGCAGCACACCACTCGGAGAATGAGTTCTTTGCAAGGCATCAGAGGCGTGAGCAAGTCATTTTCCACGGCTTGAAGTTGCAGCGTGACCGCGAAATCTGTAGGTTCGCCTTGGAGCATTCACCTCTTCAGTTCGGCCTTTGCCGACATAATCCCTCCGAGCGCTATGAAAGTGTGTGCTTGCAGTGCAAGGCACGCTGGTGCTGACATGACTTTCGTGCCATGGCTTGCCTTGCTGGCCAGACGATGCTTTGCCGAATGTGCAACAAGTTTGGAGACCATGCGCGGAAGGAGATAGATCGGACGACAGATGATTTCTTTGATCGAACATTCCAAGTGGCGCATCTGACAGGAGCACGAAGGGCACAGCCTGATGTCGACCGTGGAGGCAAATCCCAAAGACATGTGAATTGGAGCTGTGCCTTCCCGCCTCCCTGATCCCTGATAGCCTGGCCTGAGGCCTTCCAGCAGGCCATGCAGGCCCCCTTGGCCTTTTGGGTTTTTTGCAGTAGTACGTGCCATCAGTTCCCAGGCGAGCACCGAGTCTGATGCCGAGCATGGCAAACACAGCTTCGCTCTACAAGAGGAGCGGCTGAACAGTGGCTGAGCAGATATGGAGATGTGGCCCGCGGCGCTTCACGCCGTGCAGGTGATGCAGGAAAGGCATTTTCAGCTCATGGAGGTCACCTCCTCGGCCTCGTCTGACTCGTCTCAGCCGTTTCCTACAAGGTGCATTCGAACTTTGAGGACTCGGCGGCTTGGGCATGCTTGGGCTTGGGCCTCAAGGCCTCACTCCACACTGCGTCTCAGGAGACACAAGGGCAGATGGATGTCGTCCTTAGAGGCGTCCGAGGCTCAGCGGGCTTGACTCGACGTCCGCTGATTTCGGTTCTCTGAGGCTCTCGACCAGCTCGAGCGAGCACAGTCGCGCAAGTTGGAGTTCCTGCAGTCGATGAAGCGGCAGGCCGCGAAGCGGAAGATGCCGAGCCAAGGCGGCCTCGCGGCGAGGCTGCTCGCTTCTGGCAGGTGACGACCCAGCTCCTCTTCATCCAATGGTTGGACAACTTCCAAGCTCATGCTCGAATGGCCCGCCGCCGAGACTTCGATCTCTACTTCGGTGTCGGAATGCCTTCGCGCTTCCACGCTTTCGCGCTACTTTGAGCTGTTCATCCATGTGCGGACTTGATTATTGGGATGCCGCGGACTGCTTCTGGCTTTGCGCTGGCTGGCGGGCATTCATAAGATTTTGCCATGCGTGTGCCTTGCAGCTTGTGCTTGATCCGGGACGTGCCGCCTTGCCTGCGAGTGTTGAGGGCTCGAGTTTGCGATGCAGCGTCATTCACGTCCCGAGATCCAACATGAGGAGCTTCGAATTCATTTCAGCACTCAATGCTAAAGAGGTCAGAGGAGAGCCTGCAGAAGTGGTGCGCAGTGCAGCAGTGTCGGTTCCAAAGCTCCGTGTTTGCAGACCGAGGCCTTGCCTCCTGCAGACTTTGTTGTGGCCACGAAAAGGCCCACAGCAGCAGTGTAATGTCACCACGCCGCTCACGCTTGGGACCAGGCACGAAGGTTTGCTGGCTGCGCTGTTTGGCTCTGATGGAAGCCCCCTTAAGGCAGGTTTTATGCAGAGACTTTGCAGCATGAGTGCATCCGGGCGCAGGGTGCAGAGCTGGGGATTGGCCCTGTCCCGTTCCAGACTCGGATCTCACAAAGTGGCTGAGTGTCGTCCGGAATTGCCAATGTCAGAACCACCTCGAACACAGGCTCGAGACAGTCTCTGTAGAGCTATCGAGAACCTGCCAAGAGCCGATCGGTTTTCTGGAACGAGCCTTGGACCTGGATTCTCTAGGAAGGTAAACGCCCCTCGTGTTCGGAGGCAACGGACTTCTTTTTGACCTTATTAGATTTTTTGGCATCAGTCTCGATGGTATCATGATGTGGCGGCCAACGGAGTGGGCAAGTCGCAAGGCAAAACTAGGTTTGCGCCACCAGCAAACAAGTTGCTACAGCTGCTCTGGCAGCGCTCAGCGCTGCATCCAAAGCTTCCAAGGCTGTGGGTGGATGAAGAGCTGCTTCTCGAGGGTGCTGCCTGAGCCCAGTACAGATGCCATGGGGATGCCGGGATGCCGGGATGCCCGTGTCCTCGATTTTAGGTGTCCGTCCAGCTCACGTCTCTTCCACCTCCCATAGCTGAGCCTGCTGGGAGCCTATCTCACGTGCCTTCGGCTTTGCTGGGAGTGTGCTCTTCCACTCAGGGTCCAATGCCTCCGAACGCAACGGTGCCTGCTCTTGAAGAGGCGCTTTCCATTGAGTCACTCTGCACCAAGCTTTAGTCTCTCAAGCTGCAGTAGTTGTAGGTTCTTGGTCGTCTTTCCTGGAAGAGAGATACACGTGACCGAGAGCTTTTGCTGACATTGCCGGCAGCATGCTGCGGCCATTGCTCCTGGTACATCCTCGTGGAGCGGTGGTAAAGCAGCTGCAAACAGTACTGTAAAACTGATCAGCTCAGACATGCATGCAGCGTCCTGAGCCTGCAAGGCGCGGGCATATCGACAGACGATAAACGAATTTGGCAGAGCTGGAAATCAGCATCGTGCTATCGGTGCTTTTGCCGGCTACACTTCTTGGAGGTTGCGGCCCGCTTTACTTGCGCTTTGCGGGGTAAGGAACGGCATAAGAGTGTATTCCACGAGTAAACAGCCCATTTGCCGTCGACAGGGAGGAAACACCACATCCAAATGCTGAGCCATCTTCGGCGCGTCCCACTCGACGAAGAAAGGTTGACGCAAACTACTCGGCAACATCTCGATTGCCATACTGACTCGACCTGTTAAAGTGTAACAGGCTTGTGTTGGCAGTAACAAGCTTGTTTAGCACTCTGGTATGTCGCTTGGATGCGACCTCCTTGCCCAAGTCTCCGGCACTTGCTCGGGGACGACCAGGCTGCAGCTTGGAAGGGTGATGCTGGGCCGCCTTGATGCGAGAGGTTGTCTTCCACCTCGTGGAGGGCACATGTCACGTGAATGCTGCCGACGGGGGGCAGAGGCTGCCTGAGCCCTGCGTTCGGTGCCTACATCTTCATCGATGGGTGAACTCGCCTCCAAAGCGCCGAAGGCCTAGACCAGATGCCCAGGCGCCCTTCCCGACCTGACCAGGCACGACCCGAGCAAATCTCGGCGGCGTTTGTGCATACGATCTCCCGTCGGAGCTTGGCTCGGTGCTGCATCGGCACCCCTCAACGAAACCACCAAAGGGTCAGTCGGCACGGCATGGACCAAGCCCTAGGGGCCCGGGGCTCGTCAGGCCATGGCCCATCGAACTAAACACATCAACCTGGTTGGCCGAGCAACCAGACAGGCCGTCGCCGCGACGTCGCTTATGAGCACCGCACCCTGCAACTCCAGCGAGCTGAAGCTTGGTGTCGTCGCAGCACAAGCCGAAGATGTGGCAACCGACGCGCTCATGCATCACTTTGCTGGCTCGTCACAGACCTCGCCCACAGATGGCTCAAATGCGGAGTGGACAATCGCTCCTACAGGGGGCTCCCAGCCCTACGTGGCAGCGTTATGTGGCAAAATTCTCTATCGGTGGTTCTGGACTCATCCATGTCTGTACTCTCGCAGACTCGAATGCAGAGAAAGCTTCACCTGTCAAGCAATGCTCGCGCGATCAACAAACCGTTAACGAGCGGAGAAGCCAGGCTGGTTCGGATGCATCGAACATCCCACTTGGCCGACCCACCGAGAAACTTAGACCCGCAAGTGCCATACCGTAAAGCAAAAGGTAAAGGATAGATCATTGCCTTGCAGGTGGTGTTAATGGGAGCCCAGTTGTCGGGAGCAAAATGTCGAGTATTCAGCAGATGTTATTCGCCTAAATTTGCTCATTCGTACTAATGTCAGACATGCACGGGCGTAGTGTCACGGGATATGTTCGTGGCGTGTCACTGGTGATATCGAGTGGATGTGCTCTGTGCGTGCACGCATAACCCCGCTAGATGCTTGTGCATGAAGGCTTTCCTAAGAGGGCTCCAGTCCCCCGCAGCCGCGGCGGGCATCTTGCGGTCTGCAAGCGGTGGCAATCGACGACTTTTGTGCCGTCGGCGCCACGGCGGGGTCTTGACCTGCGGCTTGAAAGTGCAGGGAGCTCGTGAGTCAGCAGGTAGGCATTAGTTACATTAGTTTCGACAATGGATGGATGTATGCCTGTACTTGACCTGCTCGTCTACTTCCTGGTTTCTGAGCCGACGCTCTGCCAGGGTGGGAGTGCAGGTGTGTTGCTTTGGAACGTGCTGGCAGAAAGAGGCACTCGTGCTTCCTACTACACGACGAAAAACCTGATCGTGAGTGTGCATCGGCGTCTATATAGAGCTCGGCGAGTGCAGCCGTTCTTGTTCGTGGTTCGAGCTCGCAGGGAGTGTGCATGGCATACGGCATGGCGTCTTGATTCGTCTGCGAGGTGCCACCCGTTCCACAGCTTGCAAACGTCGGTACAGCGACTGGCAGGCATGGCTGCTCATGGCATTTGATGGTTTGAGCAAGAATATTCCACAGGTTCAACCACGCTACAGCATCAACTGGCAGAAGCCTGATGTCTGTTGACATCACCAGCAGCTTCGAAATACCTTACATGCAATGCTCTCGTCAGGGAGTTTCATACACCGGTATATAATGCGCAAGCCCGATCCTACCCACAGCTTGTATTACTGAATCAACTTTGTTACACTGGCACTCATCAAACCTGTGCTCTGTGCATGTGTGCAAATCCACAGCACGGCTACCATCTTGATGCACAGTCTTGTTGTCTCTGCTCCTAGCAGGTTTGCAGTAGTTTACATGTGTGTGCATCACTGTATCACTTCGTAGACAGTGTTGAAAACAGAAGAACGATGTGCCAGGGGCATAGACACCCTGGAGGCTCGTGCACTCCAGTCTTATGTTCTCGCATCATTCTCGCTTCGTGGCTTCCGAAAGAAGTCAGGAGCCTGGCTCTTCGTACCTAGAGGCGACTCCCAGGCTGGGTCAGGCGAGTTCAAGTTTTGCTTAAGGTCCATCCAAGTTGGATCTTACCCAGGCGTCGCTCGAATAATCCTCCACCAGCGGGCATTGGAGGACTGCGTTTGTGCAGAAGCTTTCTGTCTGGCCATGGTGACTGTCTAGACCCCAGGAATCAGCGACACACTGTACGTCAAAGCATCGGAGTCAGGCGAAGACCAATGGCTTCCGTGCTGATTTGCGATGGCCGCAGCGCTGATTGCTAGATGTATGCAGGTCGTACTGCGGGTGATGTCGACAAGTTGACATCCGAGCGGCAACTTCAAGCAGGAGTTCTTGATGCTTCGGCAGTGACTGCGGTCGATCAAATTCCAGGTCGGACGCCACCTCTGTTGCCAGCTTGCTTTGCTGCTCACGCCTGCCTGGATTGTGCAGCATGCAGGTGGCCAGAGCCGTGCAGAGTTTGATGGTTACATCTCGCAGGCTTCCGGGATACTTGTATCTGGTCATATCTGGTCATGCTTCCCGTCACCTTGGAACGTGTGGTCATCCTAATGACGATTGACTAGACGACGCGTAGTGTCGGCTGTCAGTTGTCAGGCGTTTGCCTACTTGGAAGAAGCACAGAAAAACTCACAGCGAGCAGCCCTGCCCGCTGTGGCATTGTCCTCAGCTTTTTAGACTTTGGCTTTCGGGTCGAGTCGGGTGCAACTTCTCGAGGCCGCTTCGGCCGTGCCTCCGCGTGTTCCAAGTCTGCAGCTTGCGACCGAGGCCCTGGGAGTGCAGTGGAGGGACTGAGCGGAGGGGTTTACCCGTCATACAAGTACCGGTCACCTGCTCCTTTCGAGGTTCTCGTTCAACTGCGCCAGAGTCTGCTGCTTAGACTGTTGCGGTGCCCCGTGTTGCGCAGCGGTGACTTGCATTTCGACCTGTTACAAGGCGCAGAAGCATCGGGGGGCCCGGCTAAGCCATGGGGAGTTCTACTTGCCCTTCTCAGTTCATGCCCAGGTGCAACATTTGCACTTGGCGCCGATGTTGTGTATCAGTGCTCAAATCTTGTCTGTTCTCAAGAGACTGGAAGACAGAGAGTTGCCGACTGGTGGCACTAGTTTTTCCAGAGCTTAGACACATGGCTACGGCATTGAGCTAGGCCGACTAGGGTTGATGACGGGTAGTTTAACATGTAGTTTGCGCCTTTTGTTGAAGCCCCTTGTGTTGCCGCAGTAGAAGCAAACTTACGGAAGTCGCATGTGGCAGGTGCCCCCTTCAGTAGTGAAGACAACTTTTCAAGATGTGGAGCTGCCCATGTTCAAACTCAACTTGCAAATTTCAAGAATCGCATACCAGCTTCCCCTTGCGCCTAAAGCCCAACACGAAACGATCGGTACTGGAGTGCCCAGTGGCTGGACTTCGATTCAGAGCCTTCAAGGCTTTTTCGCAGACATGTTAGCTACCGCGTTTTATATCGTAGTTCCTTCCGCACAACTCCTGCGCAAGAAGGCGGCGAGCGACAAGAGCTGCTGTTGAGAGCGCTCCGAGTGGTGCGCACAAGTTGCTGTGTTTGCTATCTCGAGCCCTGCATACCGTTCTTGGCAGGCAGCGCCGATTGGCGACACAGCGGGGCAGCTCGCCAGGCGCAAGAGCTGAGAGAGCGTCGGATGGCACTGGCATGCTTCTGCGTCTGTCTGTGTATAGGGCTGTTGTTGAGGATGATGTGCGTGACCGAGATAAGGGTTGCAATTTGTGAGTATGCATCGTCTTCGCATCGGCAATAAGGTGCAACGGACTCAAGTTCCATCGCTGCTAGTGTCGGCAAATGGTCTGCATACGGCCTTGGCAAGTCTGGCAAGTTTGATGGTCATGAAGGATGCCAGATGTTCTGTAATGCCATGATGCAGGTACAGGCTCTCATGAGGCTCAGTGGCAGGTGCGATCTCTCTCGAGCTACTCAGGAGTTGACCGCACCTTGCTTACCTGAGAGCTGCGTATCAGGCTCAGAGCTGTCATGGAAACATGGCGCTGTGAATCATCCCTTGCATCTTTTTCGCAGCTATCCGGAGCAACTCCCCAACCTGAAGCACAACCTGTTGTTCCATGCCAAACTCCTTAACCCTGTGCACTGTCGGTGGTTGCACCCAAGACTGCCATAGTATGTCTGACCTTGCAGAGTAGTCTAGGCTAGCCATGGCAGAAGTCGATGCACACGAAGAGGCTCCATGCCCAAAGCAAGTCTCCCTCGTGTGCTGGTCATTGCTGCAAAAAGGCCAGAGCTCTCGAGCTTTCGGCGGCCTTTCTTCAGTACGTGAAGAAGTGCCCGCACGTTATGGAGTCAGTCCAGGCTTGACCATGCCAACGAAGAATCTGTGGCTTTTTGATTGAATGGGCCTGGTTTCAGCAACCGTTTGCCATCCCAGTACCACAGCATGGGAGCTAGAAGAAGATGGATGTCCCAGATGTTTCCTTCACTCAGAAAAATAGTCTGCTTGATTTTGTAGGTTCTCAGGACCCACAGCTCGTTGAGGGTGCCGAGGTGCCCTGGGCCAACCTGAAATCCAGCCTTTTCTCCTAGACTCCTACACAAGTAGTTTTCCCAGCTTTCTCCAGCTTATCATAGTTTGTGTTGCAAATTCCAGGCTCCGTGTCCGATGGACGAGAGGTATGGTACGCCACAGCTTCGCAATTTGGGGCTCTTGTCTGGATGGCCTGTTCCCGAGCCATAAATCGCCAGTGCATGAGCAAAGGACTTATTTGTCAATTTCCTCCGTTGTTCTGGCGGCACAAGCTGACCCCTAAACTTTTCCTGTCACCTGTGTTGCGCGTGATCTGTTTCAGCTAATATCTATTGAAGATAATCAGAAACTGAGCCTCGGATCAACTAGATGTGCATCAGAAACTGTGCATCAGAAACTGCCCCGCATCAGAAACTGCGCATCAAAAACCAGTGTGTATGAGAAACTGCGCGCCAGAAACCAGCGCGTATCAGAGACTGGAGACACATATCAGAAACTGGCGCGGGAGCTTGGAAGCAATGCTGCGGTGGTGAGAAGAGAGCATCGGTCTGATGCCTTCTGAGAGAAGCCAGCCATGATGACATCCATGGTCTAATGCGTTCTGAAACCAGAGCATCCGCGACCCAACCATGACAACGTCCATCGTCTGATGGGAGGAGGGGCATAATTACGTCCATGGTCTAATGCAAACTGAGCACAAAGCATCCAGTGCCCAACCATGGTAATGCCCATGGCCTAGTGCGTTCTGAGCACAAAGCATTCAGGGTCCAACCATGATAACGTCCATGGTCTGCTGCAATCTGACAAGAGAACATCCATGGGGGGGGCAACGATAACGTCCTGGTCTAATGCGTTCTGAGCACAGCACATCCACGGCCCAACCATGATGACGTCCATGGTCGAAGGCGTTCTGAGCCCAGAGCATCCATGGCCCAACCACGCAACGGCACCCAGGAAATTGCGAGAGGTGTAGGTCCTGCTGTTGGCCGCTTGCTCCATTTGGCAATAAGCGCCGCCTTCCATACACTTAAGCTCGCACAATCTAATCAAGCGTTGAGATTTTAGCCCTGTCCGGCCCTTGGGCCCGCAATGCTCTTGGCAACCGGTCCCTCAGGCTTCTAGTCTCTGAAGGATGCGCCTGGTTTCTGAATCAGCCGTTATGGTTTCCGAAGCAGCAGTTCTGGTTTCCGAATCATGATGTGGTTTCCGAATCAGTCGGTCTGGTTTTTGATCAGCCGTCGTGCTTTCCGAATCAGCCGTTCGAGTTTCCGAATCATGGCTGGTTTCTGATTCCGTCGTTCTGGTTACCGATTCAGTCGCTCTCGTTACAGATTTTTTCTGCCGAGCGGTGACCAGTGTTGAGCAGTTGCAGAAGCTCATAAAAGCATTGCCACTCCATAGCAGTCTGAATATCGCGTTTGGCCACTTCAACACAACCTGAAGCATGCTTGGTGTCTGGCATGCTTGCGCAGACGCACCAACCGTATTCATACTCTTCTTCGCAGTTACCCGTGCAAGCCAAAGAGCGAGAGAGAGGGAGACAGAGAGAGAGACGTGTGGTAGGCTGCCGTTCTGTTGCGTATGAGGCCGCGGAGTGGAGCACAGGGGGAACAAGCTCTAAGGGGCAGAAGTGACTTACCACTACTCTAAAGGGGGACAGGGCGATGTACGTTGTGTTCTGAACAGGCCCGAGCCACGACCCCAGTGCGAAACCGCACGACGAGTTGCAGCGGGAGCGAAGTCACGCATAGCATAGCACCGAGTAGGCACGACATGTTGTTGGGGAAAGAAAGCTGCAACGATGTCCAGCCTTTTTGCCTTGACCGAAATGCACTGCGCGGGGAGCCTCAGAGTGCAGTGTTAGTTCGTGTTGTGGAGTGGTGTAGGGTTAGTTCATGTTGTGTTGTGTGAGAGGAGGCTCCAAGTGCAAACGCATGGGCATGTTTCGAATTTTCGAAGTGCACACCTCCGGCGGGTTGCCATAGGGGCGCGGAGATGAGGCAGGTTGTGGGTGACTTAGTGTTCGGGGTGGGGGTGTGCAGCTTGGAAGTCCGGAGCAAACTGTGTAACAAGTACAGCGGTCAGTGACACCCCAAAGCCGTCCACTCAATAAAACAGGGGGTGGACGGGCGGGCTGAAAGCCTGAGGGTCACAACGGTGACCCCTAAGCCCGGCAGAAAGAAAAGAAAAAGAGAGAGAGAGAGAGAGAGAGTAGTCAAGTGAGGGGGGAACACCGTATATGCACAACGACGCCAAGTTTTATGATGCCGACGCGGGAGCATGCTGTGAGGTGTGTCGGTGTTGTTGATATCAGTTCCTACTCTCTGTGTGATGCTGCTGTTCGACAGAACAGGCACCCCGAAAGCAATGTATGCCGGGGGACGTGGAGCGCCCTCCGTAACTTCTGTACGGTATCGCGAGCCGAGTTCCATGTGACTATGGTTAGCGTGTAAGCAAACGCGATGCTGTAGCACTGACACTGGTAGGTAGCAGGCGAACGTGGTGCTAGACCCCGGAGGGATTGTTTGGGGCTTAGACTGGTTGTCATTGCTGCATCGTTATTTGCGAAAGGGGGGGAAGCAACACATAGCCATGAAGGTAGCTGAAGGTCGTTGCTACATACCCCAAAGGAATAGTGTTATGTCATTTTAGGTAAACCCGTACTGTTCCTACAACCTATTGGCTCCGTTGTTTCTGTTGGTTTACGACAAGGGGGAGCAACTAGTAGCAGTGAACATGCATAGATTTGACAAAGCCTGGCAGCTGCTATACGTGTTCCCTTCACCTCACCCTCTAAACCCGCCCGTATTCCCAGTTGTCAACAAGCACTTGCCGAAGGCTCGAGTAATGAGACAGGACGTGGTGGGGATGCGCTTATCTCATCTTTGGCACTTAGTGACGCTGTTGTGAAGACGCAGACCGACACGAAGGTTTTCGTGAACCCGGGGGATCATGTAGCCAAACTTACCAAATACTATGTCACTTTTCAGGTTGTTTGAACAGAAAGATCCACCGGGGGAAAAGAAAACAAAATACTTTCACACTCCTCCAAAGTCCCCACATAATATGGGAGGCCCTAGTGGCCGGGGGGTCTAACCAACCCCTCATACCCGGCGGAAGAAGACAGAGAGAGAGAGAGAGTGAGTGCGCGTGTTTTCGTACGTGCGTGCGCATGTCTGTACGGCATTTGCTAGGACCGTTTCTTTCCCATGCTGTGCTTCTTGTCTTCCTCGATTGGAGTTCGCGGCTGCGGGTTCAACACTGCAGTTCTCATTCGGCATTAAGTCGAACGGAAGTCGAAAGTTTCACAGGAGTTTTCATCGCCGTCTGTGAATGCTGACAGAATATGCGCAGGTGTTCATAGAGCGTTTGTTGTGATGCAAAGTGTAGGCCTTCATTGCGGAGCACTGCATGCAGTTCGCGGAGCTTGCAAACTGTGCAGCACTCGGGGCAAAGACCAGAGTTGAGACGTTTTGTTGCGTTTGCAACTGTTTGCCGGTCGTGTTTCAAGGCGATGAGCATAGACTGGAGCCAGCTGCTGAGTGGTTGCAAGCTTGACTTCCAGTTCACAGTCGAAAACAACAAGAGCAGGTACACGGTTGTGCACCACGACTTCATCACACTGCTGGATGGTCACGTGGAGGTAGACTTCGAAGAACATCGCAGCACAGCTGTTGCTTGTAGACTCACTTGCACTCACTGCGAGGCTTTCCTGCGGTTTCAGGGTGCTAGTGAAGCAGACTTTCTGGCTGCTCTGGCTTCCGTCCAGGCCCAGTGGAAGCAACAGCAGACTCCAACATCCGACCATTTCCAACAATCAGACATGCTGTGTTTTCAGACGGTCGGCATCAGATCTGTCAGGAAACGGGGCATGCCGAGTGGAGACCGTTCAAGAGCCTCCTTGACAAAACTGTCGTGGCCCGAGACTGGGTTCTAGACTCTAGACGTTGACTGATGACTTGTGGGCTCTGAGTGACTGAGGACTATCACGCCTTTGCCAAGATGATGCAGATTCAGGCTGTTCCGAGGGCATTTCTTGTTGAAACGCCTCACAGATCCATGCTCGAAAAGGACCCGAAAGGGTTCATGGGCAGGCGAATGGCGTTGGTCCAAGGGCGCCCCCGCCTAGCTAGAAGCTGCGGAGAAAAGAACGAAGCGATACATTCCTTTTACCGTCCGTGTCTTCGACCCGACACTTCGATGCAAAGTTGACAATTCCCTGCGCAGTTCCTTCATGGAGAAGGAGACATCAATGCTCGTGAAGGTTCCTGGGGTAAGGGTATTGCTACTGACATGCATGTTCTGGTCGTGAAAGTCAAAGTCAATGTGGAGATGGACTGTCGTGGCATGGACCGGAGTCCAGTTTGAGATCGACCTGTATTAGGAGGTGGAGGCCATGAAGCCTTCACCCACATCCTCCGGGACGTCTTCCTCCATGCATCTTGGCATCAAGCAATTGGTGAAAAGTCGTAACGGCTAGTCGGACACTGGCAGGCCGCAGTTGAGACCTGACCCTGACCCCAAGAGGATGACTTGAACAGACATAGACGTCATGATGCCACTGTCCCAAAAGCCTGCTCAACTTGCTCCGCCGGTCTCAATTGCTCAACCTTTGCCTTTCGTACTTTTGGATCTCAAGGTTCCATACAGTCCACTTGAGGGCCCTAAATTCTTTCTGATCCCTGTGCCTCAGAACTGGATTCACGTTCTTGAAGCGGGGTGTTGGCCAGCATGCAACCCGATGCCGACACTTTCAAAAGGGCCGATGCTAGTTTTGCTAATTTTAGGAGTCCACGCCGTAGGGCCGCTTACGAGCTGCTGTTGCAGCACTTCTCCCAGAGGCATGTGGCAGTGGAGAGCTTCTTGAAGAGCATGATCCACAGCCTGCGGGTTGGACAGGCCCAGCATGCCGTTCTTGAAACGTTGCACTGATGTGCGGCTTTTGTGGGCGAGCAAGCAGCCACCGGCACAGCCTTGCGGTAGCCAATTGGTGCCCTTCGTGCAGGCTTTGGTGCATCCATCGCTTACATCTGTTTGCCATCTGATCTACGCGGCAGCCGAGGTGAGGGACGACCTTTGCAAATGCCCGGTTGTTGAACGGATAGGACTTGACATCGACATGGTGTGCAGGTGAAGTTCGGGATTTTGGCGGCACAAAATGCAGTCGGGACACTGCTTGTAAGCAGAGTCATTACACCCAGGACCCCTTAAGTCGGTCAAGATGCGAGCGAGTGACAGCTTGTAGTGATCTTGGTCCGCAGCTCAGCTCTGTGCGGCCCGTTGTGCCAGTCTTCTTCGGGTACAGCGACCGGCGGATGGCAACGGAGCCTCGGAGCGAGTCTGGTGCTTTGTGTGCGCTGCGTTGCTTGGGGATATTTGGGGTCGTTTTCATTCTGCAAAAACACTCGAGGTATCGGAGTTGTCACGCCTTCTTCAACGGATTGCCCATTTTGCCCATCATGATGACGAGGATTCGGCGTAGTTTGCAGTGTGACAGAGGTAGTTGTTAGTATAGTGCAGTGTTGAAAGGGCCAGACTTGCCAAGTTGGCTTCAGATGTGAACTGACGAAGGCACGTGGGCAAACACTTCCAGACTTGAACCAGGTGCCCTTGTTTGTCGAACTCCTTGAAGGAAGGGTTTTCTGTTCCACGGGAGGTTGTCAAGCACGTTGCATCCCTTCGAGAACTTGTGGGGCCCCGAGATTTCAAGCACTGTCGGCCAGTACTGTAATCCTTGCACTAAGCCCGTTCTTGCAACTCCACTCACCTGGGACAGCAACGTTCTATTTTTGCAGTGTTTCCAGTGTGAGGAAACGTGTGGGTCAGATATGTTGTGCTGTTGCACCATCGAGTTCCGGGTCGGGGCAGAAGCAGATTTGCCCTCTCTCCAATTCTTCATTGTGCTCCCAAAGTGGGTTTGCAAACTGCCGTTCAGCTGATCGGCTGAGCGGCTGATCAAACAGTCGGGTTTAGGGTTTAAAGGTTTTGGGTTTATGGTTTAGGGATCTATTAGGGTTATCGGCGGATCGGCTGCTTCCCCGATCGGCTGATGCACCATATGCACCCTCAAGCCACGCACTTGTGAAACCCGAGGTCAGGTCCACAACATCTTGATGCCAACAGACTGTCCCAAAAGCGGAAAGATGGTAAGATGACTGACCGCAAGAAGCCGTAAACAGTTGCAAGCTAAGAGACAACGTGACAAGGTCAGCAGGAAGGTGAACAACAAACAGAGAATCAAGACAATAGCCGAACTAGGCTTTTCATATCCCTTTTCCTCGCGAAGCTGGGCTGCCCCGAACTCTTGATTGTTGATGTAGTGAAGCTGGCGCAAGCTGAGTGACTACTTGGCACGAGTCTGCGCATCCCGGGCCAAACGCTCTGCGCTTCGAAGTGCTTTGACGCCTGTTGCCGAGCCCGCACCAACAGTAACACTCCCCCTTCGACCCTGGGAGCAGGCAGCCTTCGAATCCTACGATGTGCGTCTGCGTCTGTGTGCTTGGAAGATGTAGAAGCTGAGCGAAGAAAGAGACAAAAGTTCACGTTTGCGATGTCCCAGTGTCGTGATCCGGTCAAGTATGCACTCTGACGCGAGTGAGCTGTCCCGGCAACAACTTGTGCACGCAGAAGAGTGATGGCGGAAGCGGTCGGCGGCACGTTCGCGGGCAGGCGTCGGATGTCGATTGTGACTGAAGCATGTAGCTCTCGTGAGTGTCCGTGTGCCATCTTCGGACATGACTGCCAAGTTCATGTCTGCAGGGTGACGGGGAAGGCGCTGCGCCGCTGCGTCTGGGGCAGTGGGGTTGTTTTGTGTCTGGTCCCTTGTGTCTGGCACGCTCGACCACCAATCTCATTTTGTTTTCACCATCATCACCATCGTCAGCATCTTTATTAATCGACCATGACGATCAGCTTGCATGCCCGCGCACGCGAGGGTGTCGGTGGGTGTGGGCGGGTGGGTGGGTGGGTGGCACTGTCTTGGGGTGGATGCCGAGGTCTCCCGAGTTCTCTCGCTGCCACCTGACTCTCAGATGGGCTTACCAGCATCGACGGAGGTGCGGTTGCACATGTGCAAGCTTCACTGCAGTGCAGTCGTTTTGGAGAAGAGATCCTCAGATAGCACGCATAGCACACCGACAGAGCTTCGCGCAGCGGTGCAGCTCGCAACTGAAGTCAATAAATAATGGAGCTACACTGGCTCACCGCATTAGCAGGCTTGCAAGGGGAATGTCTTTCTTTTCCTTCCTTGTACGACTACTGTTACTAGTATTAGTGCTACTCATGCTGTACATACTTTTTCTGCTGCTACTCCTGCTTCTTCTCCTACTACTCCTACTACTACTCCGACTCCGACTCCGACTCCGACTCCGACTCCTACTCCTACTCCTACTCCTACTCCTACTCCTACTACTACTACTACTACTACTACTACTACTACTACTACTACTACTACTACTCCACTGCTACTCCTACTACTACCACGACGACGACGATTACTTCTACTGCTACTACTACTCCTCCTGCTACGACTACTACGACTACTACTGCTGCTACTACTACTACTACTACTACTACCCCTGCTACTACTACTACTACTACTACGACTACTACTACGACTACTACTCCTGCTACTACTACTACTCCCACCACTCCCACCACTTCTACTGCTCCTACTACTACTACTACTCCTACTGCTCCTACCACTCCTACTACCCCTACCACCCCTGCTACTCCTACTACTCCTACTACTCCTCCAACTACTCCTACTACCCCTGCTACGCCTACTTCTGCCACTACTACGACGACAGAATCAACACTTACCCCTGCTTCTAGTGCTACCACTGCTATTACTGCTACTGCCACTGCGAGCGCCAGTTCTACTGCTACTACCACTGCCACTGCGCTGGCAGTGCCATTGCCATTGCCTCTGCGACTGCTGCTGCGTCTGCTCCTCCTCCCGCTCCTAGTCCTACTCCTGCTTTTACTAGTAGTAGTAGTAGTAGTACTACTACTACTACTACTACGACCACTACTATTCTACCACCACTGCCACTACGACTGCCACTACCGCTCTACCACTCTACCACTCTACCACGCTACCACTCTACCACTCTACCACTCTACCACTCTACCACTCTGCCACTCTACCACTTTACCACACTACCACTCTACCACTCTACCACTGCACTAGTAGTAGTCGTAGTAGTGGTGGTAGGAGTAGTAGTGGTAGGAGTAGTAGGAGTAGTAGGAGTAGTAGTAGTAGTAGTAGTAGTAGTAGTAGTAGTAGTAGTAGTAGTAGGCGTAGTGGTAGTAGTAGTAGTAGTAGTAGCAGTAGTAGTAGTAAGTAGTAGTAGTAGTAGTAGTAGTAGTAGTAGTAGTAGTAGTAGTAGTAGTAGTAGTAGTAGTAGTAGTAGTAGTAGTAGTAGTAGTAGTAGTAGTAGTAGTAGTAGTAGTAGTAGTAGTAGTAGTAGTAGTAGTAGTAGTAGTAGTAGTAGTAGTAGTAGTAGTAGTAGTAGTAGTAGTAGTAGTAGTAGTAGTAGTAGTAGTAGTAGTAGTAGTAGTAGTAGTAGTAGTAGTAGTAGTAGTAGTAGTAGTAGTAGTAGTAGTAGTAGTAGTAGTAGTAGTAGTAGTAGTAGTAGTAGTAGTAGTAGTAGTAGTAGTAGTAGTACTAGTAGTAGTAGTAGTAGTAGTAGTAGTAGTAGTAGTAGTAGTAGTAGTAGTAGTAGTAGTAGTAGTAGTAGTAGTAGTAGTAGTAGTAGTAGTAGTAGTAGTAGTAGTAGTAGTAGTAGTAGTAGTAGTAGTAGTAGTAGTAGTAGTAGTAGTAGTAGTAGTAGTAGTAGTAGTAGTAGTAGTAGTAGTAGTAGTAGTAGTAGTAGTAGTAGTAGTAGTAGTAGTAGTAGTAGTAGTAGTAGTAGTAGTAGTAGTAGTAGTAGTAGTAGTAGTAGTAGTAGTAGTAGTAGTAGTAGTAGTAGTAGTAGTAGTAGTAGTAGTAGTAGTAGTAGTAGTAGTAGTAGTAGTAGTAGTAGTACTAGTAGTAGTAGTTGTAGTAGTTGTAGTAGTTCTAGTAGTAGTTGTAGTAGTAGTAGTAGTAGTAGTAGTAGTAGTAGTAGTAGTAGTAGTGCTACTACTGGTACTGGGACTAGTGCTAGTACTATTAACAGCACTGGCACGCACTAGCACTAGTTCTAGAGCTAGTACCAGTACTAGTACGAGTACGAGCACTAGTATTGGTACGAGTGCTGGTACTAGTACTAGTGCTGGTACAGTGTGCCCGGGAAACGAGGGCGGATTTTCGACCAAGTTCATACGGCAATATTGCCCATCTTGGCGGGGGGCCAAGATGTGGGCGCAAGCTTGCATAAACCCACTTGCACCACTGGGGGGGAGAAGGGGTGGGGGCAATCTTGCCCATCTTGCCAAGGTGGGCAAGATTAGCAAAAGCAAAATCCTGGTCACAAACAACGGCCCTCGTTTGCCGGCGCAATGTACTAGCACAGTGTGCCCGGAAAACGAGGGCCGAAATTTGACCAAGTCTGTGAAGCAATCCTGCACATTTTTTTGGGGTTGGCAAGACGGGTGCACAAGCTTGCCAAAAACCACTCAGACCGCCTGCATCACTTGACCAGTTGCACAACAACTAGCCTAAATTGATTCTCGAACCATCTGCGTCCGCTTCTCGTCCTGGACTGGCTGCCAGAGTCAAATCATCGCGGGGTCAAGTTCGCAGATGAAACTTGACCGTCAACGAACAGGTTGCGCCCTGGCAGCTGCATCAACTCCCGAAGGGTGTTGATCAGAGCCCCTCGAAAATGTCCATTTCCATCTCTACACTTGTTACTTTTTTGTCGCTCCGCCCGATGATTGAGCTTTTCAGCTGCATACGCTGATGGTAAGCAGACATGTTGAAGACCTTCGGAAGAGAGCGGGTTGTCCTACACATCGCTCGGGGGCCCGGCCTCTGCTCAAGTCCACCGGCCGCGTGTTTGATGCATCCCTTAAATCGCATGATTGCGTGGCCTCCCACTGGCCCAGAGTCTTCTCGGAGCTCTCCTCTTGCGAAAACTTGCGGGGTGCAATGTTCTATGTCGCGACATGCAAACGCTTTTGCGTGTTCTGCGCGCCCCCAGAATTTCGTGGGCTGGTCCCGATCAGGGCTGCAGCAGGTTGCTTTTTTGGTGTTCCAGAGGCTGCCCCGACCGACTGTTCCCGTTGAAGGCAAGCCTGGCAAGCAAATCCACTTTTCTCACGAAGGCTACGGTGAGAGCTATACGCAGGGACATAAACAAGTTCACTCGTCCCTGCTTTAGGCTACCAGTCAAAAGGCCACCACCACCGCCGCCTCCACCACCGCCACCGCCGCCGCCACCACCACCACAAGGTACAGGCAGCACGCAAAGATGAGCCACGCCAAGCTTGTAAGAGTCTGATCCGTGCGCGTGAAGGACCATAGGTCGAACAAGCTCACTAGGAAAGCCTGGTGTAGCTGATGCAGAACAGTTCTGGCAGCATCCTAGAGCGAAGCAAAGCTCACGGCTCCAGAAAGCACCAGAGTGGGAGAGATGATGCATCGCTTGCATGTGTTTTGGATGTTAATGGAAAAGTCTTGAACCCCATGCAAGCCTGGACATTCTAGAAGACTCACTTGGTTGAAATCCTTCACCGCGTGACTCCATGTTGTGGCAGTGCCCACAAGCGCCCGTCGAACCAACGAAAGATATGCCGAAACGGAGGGTCGTAGCTTGTGGGCAGTTGCCAGCCGAGCCCGACATGGCAACTGCTTACTGCAGAATGCCAGGAATCTGAGGCCGCGGCGTTATGGACCGCAAAAAGCTCAGAACTTTAGCTTGTCGAGAGGCTCTTAGCGACTTACGACTTACGAGTCGAAGAGTCTGAGGTGCAGACTTGCTGTCGCTGGACTGCTGGCGTGCGCCCGGAAGCATCCAGTTGACAGCCGCGAGTACATCAACAGTGCAGATGTTCGCGATTTCTGCCAGGTCCCCAGCGACGTGCATGCGACTGGAGACCCCCCAGGACGTGCAAGGCTTGAAGTGTTGCGCTGACGTAAACTGCTCCACGCTCGATGTTGCGGGAGCTGGCAGGCAGCAACAGCAACTCGTTCTCGCGGCACAGCCAATTGCGCGGCTGGGAGAGTCGTGCCCTCGGCTTTCTGGCTAGCAGAGGCCCAGACCTTGTTGCTTGCTCCGCGCTCCGTACGTCAGTTGCAATCAGTTAGGCCGCTCAATGCTTGGGATGCGGAGCACTAAGAAGCTGCGACCTCGGAACCGCAACATGCCAAACACAATCTGCTCCAGGCAATGCCGTCCAGTACAGCTCCATCAGCTCCAGGCCGTGTGAGTCGACCGTGGTCAAAGAACATTGACTCTCAAGGGTGCAGGGCAGATAACCGCTGCATTGTATTCGGATTGTGCATGCGAGGGGGTTCTGTCTGTTGATGGCCGGTGACCTGTTATGGAGCCGCCTTACGTAGGGAAGTACGAGTGAAATCCAGGATGTGACAACTCAGATGCCATGCGCATGTGTCACCTTGCAGCGACTGCCAACCGCAGGGCATCGGGTGCTCGAGTGTGTGCCAAAAGGCTTTTGAGTTTTTGCTAAGCTTTAGTCTGTGCCTTGCTTTTACGTGGCTAGCAGCTATCTCCTAGCAGAGCAGCGTGGTCGATCCTGGTGCTGCACTGCTTGCGAAAAGGGAGGGCAGTGAAGAGAGCCTTGCTTTTCGGTTCTTGGATGGCCGGTTCGTGGCTATGCGGATGTGCCAGATGGGATGGAAACCCAGCTTCCAGGCTTTCAAGGTGGCTTGCAGATGGTTTGAGAAGATGCTGAAGGACAAAGAACGACGAGGAGCTGCGGCTCGTATGTGGGCCCGGCTGAGCGGACAAGAGCGTGATTAGGCACTTTTTGGCGGACGATTTTGACCAGCCAGGAGGACTTAGCAAGGTGCTGAAGGTCCTTCGCTGCTCTCCGCTCCCGGACTCGCTTCCAGATTCGCCGGAAGGATGCCGAGAGCATCCCTGAACTCCTTGTGCATGAGGACGAGTTCGCACCTCGCCAATTGCTCCACCGTGGGACCCGACTTCTCCCAAGATGGAGGCACCCGACAAAGCGGCCGAGCCTACGGCGGCTTCCCCGACCCGAGCTCTGCACCCGGGGCTGGGCTTCGTTCCACCTCCCGTCCCTGATGCAGATGCCTTTCGTCCGTCACGGGAACTCTATTGCGTTTGACAAGGTGCGACCTCCGCGCTTGTTTTGACGAGTCGACCCTCCGCGAGACAGGCCAGAAGGAAAATTTGGCGGAACGAAGAAGACGATGGGGCTTGGGCGGGGACGAGGCTGGAACTGGTATGCCTGAAGCTGGGGCTGGCGTGAATAGCCAGACGAGGAGGAAACCTCTGTCGGTGCTGGGCCCCCCGCCGGAAAAGGAGGCTAGAGTTAGAGATGGCGGAGACGATGGTGAGCAGGCCTGGCTGGCTTAAGAACACGAAGCCAAGCGCTCGACGGCACTCGAAAGACCTCCCAAGCCGCGAGAACGGCTTCACGTCTCAACATGCATGGTACAGAGTCAACATACTTCATAACTACCGGCATAACCTTGCTTTGCACCATGACGGCACTGATGATTTCGATATAGCAGGATGAGCTGAGGAATCCCAACGGCACCATACCAGCAGCCACGGCTATTGGTGACGCGGCCATGAACGAGGGCATCACCCATGAGCTCCACGGGTACTTTGATTTTGGCCCGGCGGTCCTTGAGCTTATACCTCCCCAGGCGAAAGAAACGCAAAGGGAAGTAAAGCGACCGCCGTATGGGCCCCCGCAGCCAATAGACGAGTGTTGTCCGGCTTCATGTGGATCACCCTGGCCGGAAAAGGGGCCCATGCAACGGACGATTGGACAAAGGAGTCCCCGACGCAGGCCAGGAATCGACAACGAGCTCAACGGCGATGCCAGGATGTGGCGAGAGTTTGGACCGAAGAGGCTTGTGCCAGCTCCGCGAGGGTCTGGAGTCTGGACTTTGTGTGGGAATAGCCGCTCAATTTTGGACACGGCTACGGCCGCGACTGCCAAACGGTATACATGATCAAAGGAGTGTGCTCAGGTGCTTGCGACCAGTGTAGTATAAGCTCGAGATTGATGGTGGCTATGTTGGGGAACGCCGATGGGTGGTGCTTATACTTCGAGCCGCCAGCTCTGTACACTGCTTCGCCGGTGTTACCGTTGTTCCGACTGTCAAAAGGCTCATCGGGTCAAGGGGCCACCTCCGTGGAGCCTGGAAGATCCACTTGGCCTCTGGGAGGTGCGGGGGATGGATGTCTTCGAGTTGACGACAAGGCGAAGTTCTTGCTTGACTCTGGTGGACGAGCGTCGAGGTTCACCATGGTGCACCTGCTCCGCAAGTACGAGGCGGACAAGAGTTTACTAGTCGGGAAATGGTGGACTTCGCGGGCCGATGCAGAGCAGGTCTTCGTATCGCCCCAGCAGAGGCTCACTGCGTCGCCGTGCAGACTCCCAATCGGGCCGGCGACAAGTTGGAAATCTTGCGGCTGTGGACAAGCATCACCAAGTCTCTGGCCGTGTAGTCGACCTTCCTCCGGGATGTCGTGTTGTTCAGGTCAGCTTTTCAGCGGCGTCTGCCCGGGCAAAGGCTGCCTCAGCTTTGACTTGCAACAAAAGCAAGCGACTGAAGGCCCGCTTCGGTTCCCGACCGATCGGCACAGTGTCTTCACGTTGCCAGCCGGGCAAACGAGCCTGCTTCGCAAACGCAAGTCCGGGAAATTGGTATGCAAGCAGTATATCCCAAGGCTCACTCCGGTTGTGCAGGGTCGGACGAAGGATGTGCTGGTGGACGCTGAACACGTCACCGGCAAGCAGGGGACGATCCTTCAGATCGCCGACGGCGGCCAGACCGTTGAGGACGATTACAAGAACGAGGCGCGACCTGGACGTGTCCTGAAGGATCGGTGTGCTGCGGAGACCCAAGTTGAGAAAAGCCTGGAACACCTACATCTATAAAGCCTTCCCAGTAATAGCGCAGAAGCCCCAGTAATACAACAAAGCCTTCACCACTAACAACGCAAAGTAGCAAGTGGTCAGTTGCTACGTCATTGCATGCGAACATCTATATCCCTGGGCTTCAGGAGGCGATGTACCACAAGCACCATTGGCTTCAGGGTGTGATGTGCCACAAGAACCGTTGGAGGACGTGATATACCACAAGTGCCGTTGGCTTCAGGATGAGATGTACCACAAGAGCTGCTGGCTTCAAAAATCGCGATGTACCTCGGGCCATCCAACATGCCCATATGACCATAAGGCAGGCATCTTCATCGTCTGCGCAAGGCTCTGGTGCGGTTCCGGGAAGGCATGAGCGAACCATCTGCGTGATGGTGAGCAGCAACCGGCGATCGAGGAGGTCTGAGACGCCGGTGCGGGAACAAGCCATATCACTTAGAGCCTCGGAGACCCTTTCTTCACAGCCGGAGTTCTTCGAGGAGGAGCACGCAGGCGCCGCGCCGTACTCAGAATGGATCGATATCCTCGTAAGAAGGGTCACCTACCAGAATGACAATGAAGTGATTTAAAGCTAAAGGGGAGGAGCAAGAGGCCCCGAAATTCGAGGAGGTGACCGGCTACGCCTGCGTGCGAGATCAACGACAACGAGCCTGACCTAGACGGGTGATGCGCCAGCCGCGCGAGGCGGCGGTGTGCTTTCCGAGAAGATGATGTCAACTAGAGGCATCTGTGCCTCGAGGGGAAGATGGAGTTTGGCACCGCCATGGCGACCGAGGTAAAGCACGTGATTTGCCGCGAGCTGTTCGAGCCTTGGCCCAACATGAAAAAGACCGCCTTGATTCGGCCGAGTGATGCAAATCAGATGGGGGTTGATGAGAAATCCGACGGACGAGCAGAGGCTCGGTTGGTGGTGTTGGGGGTTTAGGCACTTAGCCTCACCAAGGTCGAGACATCCGCCCCAACGCTGTCAAGGAAAGGGCGGCGCATCTTGCCCAGCTGTGCTGCAAATCACCGGTTCGTCCTCGAAAATGGGAGATGTCACCTCAGCGTTCCTTGAAACTGTCGGGAGTCGCGAAAATGAAAATCTTCTCGTCTACGCCCCGGCCCCGGCTGAGATCGCAGTGATGTTAAGGGCGGATCCGTATTGATGATGGAGCGGTGCTCAAGCTATGGTGAAAGCCTTCTACGGACTTGTAACTTGCACATGCGCCGTGTGCCTCGGGCTTGACACGAAACGGTTGTCAAAGCAATGATCGACCATGGCCAGCTAGCGCCACATGCAGAGTGACAGATGCTTGCTTGCGCTGCGTGAGCAAGGCAGCGATCGATGATCGCGGTTGCCGGTTTACATGTTGATGATTTCTTGATTGCCAGCGAGGCCAACCATCCAGCACACATTCGTGCAAAAGAGTTGAGTAGTTCCAGCTCCGATTCAAATTTGGCAAATGAGACCGGCTAGTGGTGAACCAGCGTGACTACATCTCGGAATGGATGGCCGAGGTTCCTTCGACACCTGCACCTCTGACACTGGCTGAAAAACTGAGTTGTGCGGCGACCTCGGATCGATGGCTTGGAGATCTTGCCAGACCGGGAGTCAATACCAGACGGACGAGTTGTCGGAGATCCTCTTCACTAATGTGAAGATGCTGATACGCCAACAAATACTGGTGTGCGAGATGCGCAGAGCTGCTGATCAACACATCTTGTTCCCGAGCTGGGGCCGGAGATGGCAAGATATTGCCACAGTGGTTTGGTCGGACGCTTCCCAAGAGAAGCGTCCAACCAAATCCGCGACGATATCATATGTGGCCTGCTTGGGACACAAGGAGATCCTGGATGGAAACGATGTACCGTTGTCTTTGGTGGCTTGGAAGCTCTAAAGGCCCACGAAAGAGCTTGGGCAGCAATGGAGTGGAAGTCCAGGCGGTCACGGTCGGGGAGGACGTGGTCTTCCTTGTGCGCGCCATGTGGCTTGAGATCCGGGGTGGTATCGTAAACCGATCGTCTTGGGAGAGCGAGGTGAGTGCCAAGACGGTGGGCGGCCTCGTGACAGACAGCAAGGGCATTTATGATGCCATTTTTCACGACGCGGAACGTGTCGGTCCTCCACGGACTTCGCTGATCCCGTGCTGGATTTGATCTGACAGCGACCGTTCAACAGGCGATGAAGCTGTGGACCCAACTGTGATGGGTCAATGGAGTGGCCCAGTTGGCGGACGCAGTGACCAAGTCAGCCCCTTCGGTCCACGAAGGGCAACCTGGAGTTCTTTCGTCGAGGCCAGACACGGAGCGTTGTGCATGATCCACGTTTCACCGCCGGTAAGAAAATCCACAAGACTAGGCTCTTGAAAGAAATTCAGGAGCGCTTACAGATCTTCTTGATTGATTTTGATTGCTCTGCAAGCGTTTTAGCCGAGTTTGGCCACGCATGGTATCAGTATCCTGACGATGGGCTCGAACCTGTAGATGACCTTGAGCCCCAAAAACTCAGGGAAAAATTATCCACGTGGTTTTCGTTCTTTCATGTGCATGTATCACCTTGCAGCGACTGCCGACTGCAGGTCATCAGGCGCTCGAGCATGTGCCAATGCTTTGAGTTTTTGCTGGGTTTCAGTGCTTTGGTTTAGTGTGGCTCGCAGTTATTTTCACAGGTAACAAGTGTTGAGCTGTCCTGTGGCTTCGCCATGTCATGACATCACGTGCCACCGCCACCATGCCACAGTGCAACAAGCATATGTATGTATCACCGGTGTGTCCGCAGCAATTAGCAGCAGGAGTTGTTGATAGTTGTTGTATCTTCTGTTGTGCCAGACTGCAGCACACAGACATTGTGACATTGTGTGAGTGTGTGTATATGTATATACGTGCAAAGATGTGTACATATACATACACATACACATGCATATATATATATATATATATATATATATGTATATGGACATATGTATATATGTACCTGTCTGTCCAATTGTGTGTGTGTGTTGTGTGGGTGTGTGCAACGGTGCGTGGGCGTGAGCGCGCTTGTGCTTTCAGGCTCCGGTCAGCATGCGCCGGCTTTGCTAGCAGCTTCGGCTACCTTGTCACAGCCGACGATGCGCAAGAGCAGAGAGTGGTGAAAAAACTGTCGGTAGACCAATGGACTCAATAGACCATGCCGCTGTGCAGCATGTTTCGGATCCCGACCCCTGTGCGGCTCATGTCGGAACAGCCTGGTTGAAAGCATCGTTTTACCACCAACAATGTTGAGACATGTTGCAACGAGTGTTCGAGTACGGAAAGCAAAACCAGCTCGTATGAACATTTGCATTTGCGAGCCAATCGTCGTTACCATATTCGTATGCTTTTAATCAGCTGTTGGTGAGCTCACACCGACTTGGTTGATTTAGTATTTGCGCGCACGTTCTCGAGAAGCGGATTCCGGCTTTCTTCAGTTCTGTGCGTGGCTCGTGAATCGAGCCGCAAACTGACGACACGTGCAGATTTTGCCGAACTTCATAGCGAGGGAGTGTCAAAGTGCAGGAAATGGGAGCAGACACACACGATGCCGGGAGCATGGTGCATGTGAAGAAGTCAGAAGGAAATCCGGCAGACAGACACGGGTCCGAGGTGGGTTTTCTTGCAGATGCGACAACACAGCTCATGACTTGCCACCAGCAAGACGCTATGAACAAACCACTCAATCTTGCTGTGGACTGTGATGGGTTCGGAGGGCGCTGCTTATGCAGCGGCATGGAGTTCCCCGAATCCGAAATGGGAGACATAGAGTGCCGCCGTGAAATCTCTCAACTGCTTGCACTGCTTGGAGCGCACCGCCCTCAATGCTCAACTGCACTCGGGGGATGCAAGCTTGCTGCGGGAGGCGGTGGGGGCATGGATGAGGCTCCTGACTGGTTAGGCAATGACGAACTATGGACGGGGAAGACGACGCAACCTCTGACACCTCCGTTGCCCAACGACGAGGATAGTGAGGAGCTTTGGAGGGGGAATGTTGATGTACCAGCTAGGCTCTTCGACCATACTGCTGGAAGCAGTCCTCTTGGGAAGAACAGCGGAACAGCAACTCCAAAAGATTCCAAGAGCATTGGCTCTCCACTGGGCGACGATCCCACCGCACCTCCACGCGACCAGTTGATTCACAGGGGAGGCGCTGTATTTGGCGGGGTGCCGTACACAGGGCAGTGCAAGCGAAGGCAGATGATTCAGGAACTTCAGCAGGTGCCTCCCCTCCAGTGCCGGCACGCAGTGGTTTATCCTCGCCTTTGCACCAAGGTAACCCCATGGGGGCCAGTGCGGTCAGTCCCGGGAGTGAGAGTTATCTTCCATTGCCGAAGAAGGCGGAGAGGAGAGTGTGTTTACCTTCAAGGATTCTAAGTAGGCAGGTAGGCACGGGGTGCGTGTAGCCTCTTCCCGGGTAGGAGAAGTTTCTCCAAAAGAGAGAGTGAACCCTGACTGCCGTCTGGGCTCAGACCCTGTTTTCACGGAAAGCTAGTAGTAGCAGTAGTAGTAGTAGCAGTAGTAGTAGTAGTAGCAGCAGTAGGAGCAGTAGCAGTAGCAGTAGCAGTAGCAGTAGCAGTGGCAGTGGCAGTGGCAGTAGCCGTAGAGTAGCAGTAGCAGCAGTAGGAGCAGTAGCAGTAGCAGTAGCAGTAGCAGTGGCAGTGGCAGTGGCAGTAGCCGTAGAGTAGCAGTAGCAGTAGCAGTAGCAGTAGCAGTAGCAGTAGCAGTAGCAGTAGCAGTAGTAGTAGTAGTAGTAGTAGTAGTAGTAGTAGTAGTAGTAGTAGTAGTAGTAGTAGTAGTAGTAGTAGTAGTAGTAGTAGTAGTGGTAGTCGTCGTGGTGGTGGTGGCGGTAGTGGTAGTGGTAGTGGAAGTGGTTGTGGTACAGTAGTAGTAGTAGTAGTAGTAGTAGTAGTAGTAGTAGTAGTAGTAGTAGTAGTAGTAGTAGTAGCAGCAGCAGTAGTCGTAGTAGTCGTAGTATTTTTAGTAGTCGTAGTAGTCGTATAGAAGCCGTACAAGTAGTCGTAGAAGTAGTCGTAGCAGTAGACGTAGGAGTAGGAGTAGGAGCAGGCGTACGAATAGGAGTAGGCGTAGAAGTAGGAGTAGTAGTATAGTAGTAGTAGCAGTTGTTGCTGTTGTTTTTGTTATGTTGTTGTTGCTGTTGTTTGAGGGTGTACCTTGTTCCTTGCTGGTTGACCCGTACTGGCCCCCAGGCTGTGCGCAGCGGTTGTTGTTGTTGTTGTTGGCGGAGGGGTTAATGGGTACGCAGTGTACGGGTATACCTTCTTGTTGTTGTTGTTGTCGTCGTCGTCGTCGTCGTCGTCCCTGTCGTGGTCCTAGTCGTTGTCGTTTCGTCGTGGTTGTTTTTGTTGTTTTTCTTTCTTCTACTTTCTACTTCTTGTGGTTGTCAATATTTGTCATCATGTCGTTATTGTCGTTATTGTGGTGGTGGTGGTGGTGGTGGTGGTGGTGGTAGGGGTTGCGGCTGTGGAAAGCCAAGAACTCCACGCAATCCGGCTGTTCATGGGCTCTGGCCTAGGCCCTAAGCATGATGTTCCAAAGCAGTGAGCAGCATGCCCGGCGGCAGGAAGTGTGGACGCGTGGGGAGGCGCATGACAAGCTTAACGGCCTGCAGACCGGCGATTGAAAGCCCCCAAGAGCTAGAGCTAGCCTGAACCTCGGTGGAGTGGCGAGTGCCCCGGGAGAGGGACCAGAGGAGGGCTCTGATGGCGGTGTTGAGGTACTTGTAGTGGTAGTATGCAGTAATGCAGTAATTACCACGCTTATTGAGGACCAGTGACCCCAAGAAAGCGCCATGAGTTGCTGCGACTCCCTCCGAAATCAGATGCCGGCGACTTGCAGTGCCACGTTCCCCTGCAACTGGTTCAGACCGTCGTAAATTGCATTGGCCTCTGGTGCACGGAACGCCACATCCATTAGCAGTCTGACGGTTTCCCCCTCCATCTGCTCTTCGAGTCGCCTCGTCGCGTGAAAGCGAGACAAGATGTCCCGATGGATGTAGGTATGTATGTTCTGGATCAACGTCATCAACTCGTCCTGTGGCAGGGGCGAGAGTCCACCGTCAGGCACGTTTGTTCCAGGAGCCACTGCTGCTACACCCACTCCCCCGCCTCGGTTACCCAACCACGGGTTTTTGCCATCGTCCCCTAGGTTCTGAACCGTGAGCTTGAGAAATTGGATCAGGCTCCAGAAGATCGCCTGTCGGATGGGGGTCTCCCTGAAGGACTGTCCTTCTTGACCACTTCTTCTCTCCAACTCTGTGCAGATTGCACCAGCGTGGGGATCGGCGACTGCCGAGGGATGCGAAGCCACCAGACCCAGCCTGTACTCAAACGGAGGGTGGAGATGGCCCAGGCATGTTACCAGTTCATCCTTCGAGACGTGCCCCTGCTGTCCGCCATTGGGTGCCTGGCTGGCCGCGCCACCACTGCTTGGGAAGCGCGTGGATTGTTGTGGTTGTGGTGGTGGTGGTGGTGGTGGCCGAGGAAGAAAGAAATGAGAAATAAAGAACAGAGAGGCGAAGTCCACATGGACGCTTGAAGTGCCGTGGCCCGTCATTCGTGCGAGGGACAGGCCTGCGCAACGTGCTTTCATGTGGATTTCTCCTTAACAGAGATAACTGAAATGACGGCTTGTGACTTACATCCTGCATCCCCACGCTAGCTGCTAATTCAGATGCTCCGCTCGCAGAGGGCAGGTGTAGGAATGCTCGAAAAGGGTTCTAATCTAGTTCCAATGCCGAGTGGAAACATCTTCTGCACAACTTCAAGGCCAGCAGGGGTGCAGCATCAAGATTGGCAAAGCATTCCCAAGATGCATTCATCAAGAAGCATTCATGGCGGCAATGGATTCTGGCGGTGCCTCACCAAGCTCTCTGCCATCATCTGAGAACTTCGTCGACAATACACACCACCCTGTTGTGTATGTGTGCACCTGACATGCAGGATGGCTTTGACAAAGAAAGGGGACCGCACCAGATGGGTGCCGCATGCCCTTTGGATGCGAAGTCTTTCTCCATATTGAAGTTCATCATCAGAATGCCGGTAGGCATGGACATCACCAGCCCGTCCTGACTCGGATGTGGAGGCTTCATGTCGACCTATGTACTTCACTCAGAACAGACTTTC